GTGGCATTCAAATACAGGTGTTTGATACCCAGGTGAGTAACACATGTACAGGCCAGACTACCTGTACGTGTTTACCTGATTTCAAAGTCAAATATGAATTATTGACATTATTGACGAGGAATCAATAATTCACATTTTCAGTAGTGTAAACATTTTTTATGGTGCGGCAACAATAGATGATACGGTGTTCATCTAAATGTTTAAATTTCTACCCTTAAAATCTTCCTTAGAAAACGGAGAAAATTGTATACAAAATATAACGTTTACATTATATAAAATACATAGCTGTCGCCATGACATGCCGAGGTTTGAGTCCTTGATAATGTTGTAAGGAGCTTGGTATCAGGAGGGACTGATTTCGTAGGTACTTGGTTTACAACTATACATACATAAATATACCTGTACAATACATGGGTGTTCTGTGTCCCACGGGGCCGCGATGGCCAAGTTGTTTAGGCGTTTTACATTCTGCGATCACTAGCCCTCTACCACTGGGTTGCAGGATTTTTTTAAATATACATTTTATTTTACAACAATTATTAAACAAATTTTTACAACTTATATTAATCACTCTTGTTGGCCCGGATGTTAGCGCACGGGAGAAAACCCACGTGGTCGGGCAGGTGACCCATACCTTTTCACGTCAGATCGGGGAATCGAACCCCAGCCACCTTGGTGAAAGGCAAGTGCGCTATCCACTGCACCAACCGACCACCCTGGGTTGCGGGTTCGAAATCTACGTAGGGTAGTCGCCAGGTACTGGCCGGAGGTAGGTGGTTTTTCACAGGGAACTCCGGCTTACCTCCAGCACCAAAACATGGCACGTCCTTTTGTGACCATAGCTGTTAATAGAACGTAAAACCCAAACCCACCACACAAACAAGTTCTGTGTCCCGAGTCAGCCACACCCAGTATGTAGCGGATCGTGTGTGGTGTCGCTATTGAATGGACAGAACAACGATTGTTTACAACCCATAACACATACCGTAGGTTATTCGTTAACGATGGTGTTATTACATGAAATAAAACAGGCGTTATTATGCAGTAAAATATCGTTATACTGCCACCTTTCTAACGCAATATTGGCTCTATAAAGAGGTTTGGCTATGTTTAATCTGGATTTAATGCCCTAAAGCTTGCAGAATCATATGAAGATGAGAGCCTAGGTAGATACCACAGGAAAGAGAGAACAAATAGTAGATAAAGAAAGAATAGGAAGGAAATATTACAAATAAGATATCACAAGTATTTCGATGGAGAACAGCACATCGATGGAGAACAGCACTCTTATAAGACACCAAATATGCAGGGGGGTGGGGGGCTCATCAGTCGCCTCTTACGATCATGCGGTTGGAATTCTTTCTCCAAACCTGCACGGGGTTTGGCTATACATGGAAAGTTAGTATAAAGACATATTTAGGAAAAAGGAAAAAAGGGTCCTTGGAATATGTTTGAAGTTACCGTGGTGGCTTATGAATCGATTGGCATCATTAGGGTAAAGCAATATATTATATCAAGGATTGAATGTGTTGCTTTCCTTTCTTGTTTGGTTCATGTCATTTCGTGTTGCTTTCACTAATTAATGGGATCGAGGGGGATCATTTTGGTTTGTTAATATTAATGCGCATTGCCTCTCACTGTTGCTTGTTGTCTTCCTTTTTGTTTTGTGAAAGATGTTTATATTGTTTGTTTCAGGCCCGTTTTAAGTTACTTGTCTAGTTACATGTATTTTATGATAGCTTGTTCATGTTGTCTTCCCTATTGTTTGGAGACGGTTCCTGACCGTAACATTTTGAGTTGAGTGTTTGTAGTTTTATGAAGAGATTGTCCAGAAATGCGTACAGATACAGTCAGCTTTTGTTACCTACAAATAAAAGACCGACAAAATATCTCAATTATTAAAGAGTGTTCGAGATAGCTGAACTAGGGACTTACACACACTGAATAAATGACTTTGTGATAGCTAAAGTTGTCTGATTAAAATACAGGGGACCAGGAACAAGTAGTCAAATGTTGTAGCGAAGTGTTTTATAGACTGATACCAGTGTCATAAATAACATACCAAGAGCACAGTGGGTGTACTGTTTAAGTATCGTGGAAAACGGGAAACTTGTTGACATAAATGACCTTTCGGAACGCTACATAATGGTTCACCCTACGTACAGAGCCCTGGTCGAGTAACTTAACACGACTGACAACAGTCTGGAGCCTTTAACTGATATATAACCAGAGGGACAACAGAAAGATCTCATAAATCAGACCATTGACGGACAAACTTTCTTGTAAACAGTATTTAACTGATAACTAGTACAGTGCGTAACCACCATGACAACAAAAAGGAACTCCTATTTCAGTCCATTGGCGGACGGCGGTTCTTGTAAACAATGTATAACCGATATATAATTCATTATATCACCACTGTTACAACGTAAAGAACGTCACAAATCAGTCCATTGACGGACGATTTTTCTTGTAAAAATATATAACCGATAACTTATACATTATATCACCATTGTGACAATTAAAAGAACGTCAAGAATCGATACTTTGACGAACAGCCTAACCGGTTGATGATATACATATTTTTTTTATATTTTTTTTTATAAAATTAAATGTTTCCAGAAATATTAATGTTAGTATTGTGCTTTAGCGACTTGGTAATGGTCCTGTTAATATTTGTATGAACTACGAATGCCAACTGAAAGCAGTTCCACAATGACAACGAGAAGAACCTCACAGCTCCGGACGATATTTTGAATTCTATCAAACGCAATGAGACTGTTTCATTTGTTGTAGCGTTATTTTGTATTTTAGTGACTTTTAATGCATCAAAACAAGAGTGTCGAGAAGATTAAACGTTAAATACCGAAAATCAGCCGAAGTGGAAATCTTCAAAAGGAAACTGATGCCAAGCTTCCAAGAAGTCAATCAAGATCTACCAATACGAACAAATGCTTTACAACAGATATAACTGGATTTCAAACCTCCGAGAGACCTTGATCCTGAATATTTGATCGAACTACGAGAAGTGACGGGCGTATTTTGTTGGTTTGTTTACCAAGCTCTCGATACTTACTCCAATGTTGATTGTCCTTTTACGGTAAATATCATATTTTCTACACAACCTAGAACTCTGGACGATATAAAATCCCTCCGATCGATGCTACTCGACTACAAAGCGGTCACCTTTTAATAGCAGCTCTTGATGTGGACATTAAACTGGACATCTGACATATCTTTATCTGTACTCCTGGTTGCTAGGGGACCGATGTCCGTCGGTCGCTACGATGTACGGAATTGGACAAGGGGATTATAATGGGGGGAAAGGTCGGCAATGGATGCCTGAAGTCAGCAGATTAAAATATTGTTTTGTTTGTTCGATATTTAACTCTTTCAAACAAGTAAAATCATATAACAGCGATGTCCACTAGCGATCGAGGCACATTTTAATTTTAAGTGTAATGACAATGGAATATCACACAAGGAACGCGACATCACCTAGTGATCTCATTCTGGGTTTCTAGAGAGATACCCACCGAAACAAGTCAGGATATGAGAATTAAGAAAACAAAAATGGCGGGCCCATATCTAATATTTTGACGCATGCAAAACATATCCGTTTGTCTATACAACTGCATATTTTCTTTCATGGGAAATGGAATTGGAGAGGGATATCGAGTGGGTCGTTTTCCAGTTTTTAAACAATTAACTTGAAATAACTTCAAAACCTTTTCAATCGCTTTATCAAAATCAGTTTCCGCCTTCTTTGCAACAAAACCGAACGCCTTTTGAAAGCAAATATCTGATTGGTCTACATTTAACGAGTATTTATATTCATATGTGCACGAAGGCAGGTAATGATGATGTTTATCAGAATGCATCATTCGATCACAACAGGTTCTTGTCACCGAACCTGCATATATAGGTAAATTTAATTGAAAGTTAAGTGTTCGATATGCAAAACATTTCTCCAGTTGTATATGAATATGACTGAGTGGTTTTTTACTCTTCCTATAAGATTTTATTAGATAATCATTGACACTTAAGTCTCGTACCTTAGAACTTCGCGTCTCAAAGGTAATACGCTGGGGTCGCTTCAGTCTACGTTGCTATCATTTTCACATAACAGGTCAACAATTAAATTCATCACTTTTCTTGTTGTACCGGTACAGCATGTTTTATGGGACAATTTCCATGTTGCGTGACGTAATATCCGGGCATGTTCGATTTAGACTTGCCTACTTCCACTAGTGTCGCTTCTAGACTTGCCTACTTCCACTAGTGTCGCTTCTAAAACATCTTTAGATTCAAATATAATAGTGAAGTGTCTGCTGTGTCTGTTATTGACACTCGAATAATCACTGTAAACATTCCCCATCTTACTGACCAATAAATTTCATATACATAAGTGGTATACTGTACATGTACCTATTTATATTTTATGACCCCTGAACTCTCCGCAACCTCATAAGGCAATGGTCTCTGGACTTCGCTACCTGTACCATACCATATAAGACATATAATACTAAGTTTTATTGTTGTGCTTTGTCAGGTCGCAGGTCTGCCACCTCCCCACCACAGGGACCTGAGCATTTGTTACAGTTAAGCTATGTTTGGACCTAAATTGATGTATGTAGTCAGGGAATCATTCAACGTTTCGGGGGTTTATATAATGTACGGGAGTGGCATTTTAACGGAAGTTGAGTCAAATCCCTAAAAGGTAAAACATTTTCTGAACACATCAGTTAAGGTCTAAACATACACGTAGCTAAACTGTAACAAGTTCTCAGGTCCCTGTGCTCCCCACAATTGAGTTGGGGCAGGCGCCCCTGTACTTATCATTACAATATTTTTAGCACTAGCCTTAAAGCGCTGTAAAACCCGACACTGATCGACGTACATGCTATTAGGGTTTTAGTAATGTTTATTGGAATCGGACTGGAAAACCTAAGTGAAGTTTCAGACTTTAATAATACATTTTTGTTGTTGTGTTTTTATAGGTTACCATGACAGGACTCCGTTATACAGCGTGATATTATCCTAGGCCATCCTTCATTATCCAGTATGGGATGTGGCGGTTCAAAAGACACAGATGAGTCCGCAAATAAAAATAGAACGACGGGAACCAACCAGGTAGGTCAAAATATTATATTTTTATTACAGCTTATTGAATTAAATATCATTTAAAAAAATCATTTCAATTTTTAAGAATACTAAAACAAATCATTCAATCTATTTAAATTTTAAGACAATGATGTACAATTAAGCATTTTAAGGATCCCTGTACCACTGCTATAAACTGTAATTATGTGTTACAAACTGTTTCTACTTTCATGACAATAGCGTCAATAAATCATATCTGAAACTCCAATTTTGAATAAATCAATAATGGCGAAAAAAAAAAAATGTGAGAAGATTCGAACCTTGGACCTCCGGTTACAGTACGTTTACCCTAACCAACTTAGCTACCAGAACATCAGAAGCCTTGACCCGGCCAAATTACATCGACATCTTAAAGGAAATTAAGGGGAGGTCACTGTGTGTATGGAAATCTGCAGTGGAACTCTCTAGTGTTTTTGCCTGCAGTGGTACAGGGGTCCTTAACAACGATTATGCCTATTTAAAATTGAAAGTATAATGGTACATCATTTAGTCTGTACAAATATAAGATCTGTATTAAACATTCTGTTACGTTGTTAACCAAATAACTACAGCCTGCGGAGGACAACGTGTCTGTAGGCGAATACCAAAACGAGGAGACCAGTGACGTAAATCACAATACTGATGACGTCACGTCAACACGGGTAAGGAACAGGTGGTCGGGCGAATCGCGGGTGCTGGCATGTTTGTCGTTAATGTTAACCATACCCAGAACCTTCTACAAAGCGCATGCAATCATTTCTGCGAACTAGACTGGAGCATCCCATTACTTTCTGTCGACTGGAAACGTGTGTTTGTCATAGAATGTACCATTCAGCTGTTTCCCACAATTTGTACCCTACCCGTTATTATCTCTCTACTAACTGTATGCAAATATCAGACATAAAAACGTTGTTGTTGCTGATTAGATTTTATCAATAATTGCAATAAAATATAGAAATAGTCGGCTGCGGTGAATACTTTATAAAAATTGCTCTGTGTGGATGATTGGTGTACTTCTCGGACGTTAAGTGTTGATATAAACATGAACCAGGTAAATTGACAAATATGTTCGGGCTATAGTTTCCGTGAAGTCGTTATCAGAAAACCTCATTCATTGCATGAAATGGCAAAAAAGAATGTTTGATAAATATGCTGAGTAAACGAGTGTCGTAAACATCGGGCATTAAAGCTGACTCAATCTCTTCCATCTTAGTCACCGAAATGGAAACCGCTGTACGGAACACAGATAATTGCATGTAAATGTAAATAACTGCGATCGGAATGTAGTCATAACAAATAAACCTCTCTTTTTTTGCTTTTTTGGGGGGCTGTAAAATGTCAACAAACTGTATAGTCATCTTAATTATGAGGCAGCCATTGCGTAAACCCAGATTCATTACTTAAAAGACATTTTTAACAAGAGAAAGAATATATTTCTATTTCTATCTACATTTGTATATATTGAGCTTTAGTTCTTACTATTAAAACAAATATATTTTCTTGTAGGTCTTACTAATATAGTGTTCCATTTTCGAGACTACAAACGACAGCAAATAAAACAACGGCGTATCAACCATTTGTCAACATTTTTAATGGCCAACCAATGCCACTTTCTTGGCGCCTTATGTAGTACATAACAACGTACTGTTAAAAATGGTGTTATTTTCAATACTGAAACTTCTTATTTAGTAAATATAAGAACTATTGTCATATTTCTGAAAGAAGTGATTGAAAACAAAATTGACCTCCGTTTAAATGATATTTTATTTTGATTGATGGTCAAATGAATTAAGCAACAATAACGTTCAGATGTGAAAATTAAGCATTTTCAGAAAAGTGAGTTGGTCCTACAATTTGATAGAGCGCAAAGAAAATACAGAAAGTATATCTAAAATAAAGTTGTTTTATATTAAAGCATGAACCCGTTCTTCCCTTGCCCCTCTCCTTTCTTTCCTTTGCTGAATCGCAATGTCATCCTATCATCTGTTCCTGTCCAACATGCCAATGAATTCCAGAATGTAAATATAGACACCATTTCTCCAACAACCCTATATACTGTCCAACATGCCAATGAATTCCATTGAGTTTCGATTTGTCGCAGTGTTTTTTTCGCGTATACATGAACAAAGACAGTTCCGGAAGTTTCAATTAACATTTTTGATATTGTTGGTATTGAAGCCTTGCTAGAAATTTTCACTTTTATGTCGAATGATAGATAGTTTGAATTACATAAACCGCGAAAATAACACTGCCGCTAAAATGACTGTTTATACAGTATGTACTAGTACCTACTATTACTTACCTATACGCTGATGTAGCATCCCATTCCAAGCACGAATTCATGTCTCTATGGTTGCACCTGTGAACGTTGTTAATGGTATTTGAGCGTGGTAGAGAGCACTGACTTTCGCAATGGAATTTAAGCCAATTATAGTCATGCACGTGCATTAATTGTATCAGAGTGAAGCGTGGTACCATGTGACCTTGAAACTTTTGTGGAAATGTTGTGTTAGAGGGGAGTTTGGTTCCTGTAACCTTGAACCCTTGTACGTCGATAATGAGATCAGATGCGAGTGTGACGCCATTTGACCTTGCCCTTTCCGTAAGGTGATGGTACCACAGCGTTAGAGTGAAGGTCGGGTGATGCACCCTTTAACCTTCAGTGGGATATTATGTCTCTGGTCGAGTGTTGAACTGTACAATAACATGGGCATGGAAACAGCACAGACAAATTAATAACTAAATACGCCATCTCAACTAACTCTTAACACCGACAAAATCTTAATTGTAACAAGCTTTATTCATACACCGATCACAAATGAGTAACGAATAAGAATAGGTTGAAAATCTGAAAGTTCATAAATTCCTTTCGGACCATCTTGGATATTTGGATTATTGAAATATTGCTGCTCAACCTTGATATATCATTCGGATAATATCTAGAATCTTCTATAGGTGGCATTACTTCATTGTGATGGCTGGTATAGTCGCGTTGTTCAAGGTTTACCATGCGCAGTTACAACTGCCTAGTCTACGAATGCTCCTGGGATTCAAAATATCCGGAATCCTCGGGGTATATCATTGGTTGCTATAACAAAGAAATACACCAATTGTTATTTGAAGAGTTTTCTCTATGATACATTGTAACGCATGTGTTGTATTTGTACCCGTTTCTTTTGTCTCCTATTTAAACATAATTGTTTTCGTAGCGAATAAAGTCGTTGCGATGAATCCATTATTGCTTTATGCATGTTACTTATTGTTGCAGAGATATTTTACATGCTCTTTTACAAATCCAAATAAACCGCAAAAAGACGTATAGACCTAATGCAATATCTCACAAAAATTTGTACTGCCGATATTCAACTGATTTCCGGCAACAAGACAAGAGGATAACCTTTTTATGAATATAAAATTAATATGCAGTAATTTCCATTTAAGATTCCTAACTATGGTAGTAAAAATGAATATTTTATAAAGATATTCGTGATACTATAATTATTGTATCGATTACAAACGTAAGCCTTGGTATCAATACCCGTTGTTTATCTATGTGGCTGACTCTGTGAGAGCTTTCATTACACAATAGTTATTACACTACCGGGAACCCCCCAGACAGGTCTGTAGCATCTTAACACGCCAAACAGGTGTTGCTTTACTCTTGCACGCAGTTGTGTTGGAAACTAGACGCATAATGTAGTATATGGTAGCCCATTTGCACAAAACCCGTAAAAAAAAATGACATGTATCGTTGTCTTTTCTGAACTGATATCTTTTGAAATGTTTTGTTATATAATCAACCTGGAACTGCATCGTTTAGGTATGTATAATCCGAAAAGTCGATAGTCCGTATTCGACAGAGAGGATTCAGTATTTCGGGTTTTCTCTCTCTCTGTACTATAAAAGTGTTGTCAAATTATAAAATCATCTTACATTCTAGGCTTCAATATATCATAAAACATTCCTTTTTCATCAGAAATTCAAGATTCCCTACTCATCACTGAGAACATATTTTAGTAAGATCTTTAAATCAAACGTTAGTAATCGCAAATTCCAAACAAAAATCGGTTTACTGTTATTAAATATATAGAGGGTTCGATATTGTCTATGTGTATATGTTATTGGTTCTGATATTGGTTTTGGTATTGCAGAAGCGGTCGGTAAATAGTACCAGTAACAGCAACAGGGGAAGTAACAAGACTTCCGGTGCGGGCAGGGGCAGACAATCTAACAACACTAACAAGAGTAACGGTAAACGTCAGGCCCCGCCGAAGCGTAACAAAGTTGACCGGCAACCAGTCAGCGAGAAAGGCTACAAGGTATGTGTTTTAGTAGCTCCAAATAAAATGGACACTGTATTTCTACATAAATATTTCCTCCATGTGACATTTATAATGAAACGAGTAAATTTATATCCCCCGCTTGAGGTTAAGTTTAAACATGTGAGTATCGTGCTGTTTAGACATAATGTATAGCTTGAAACTTGAAGAAGAAAAAAACCCTATTCCTCATTGATTATCTGTAAATATGCACAAATCACATCGGTTGGCAAACTTAGCATGAGTCGGATGTGCATAAGGAATTTGATTAAAACATCTGAACAATATCTAGAGCAACTATCACACGAAAACCAAAAAGTGCCCGAGATGGGTGGAAAGACAGAGGAACACAAACATTGTTATCAAGTTCGAAGGAATTCGGTTAATATTTGCTAGAGTTATTAAGCGGAAACTGCCGATAATGACGCTCTTCGTTAATCAAGGGGCCATAACTCTGCCAAATGGAGTCCGATTAAAATGGTTGCCGAGCTTGGGCGAGCCCATAATGCGATAAACGCTGTTACTAAGTTTGAAGACAATCGGATAATATTTGCGAGAGTTAATGAAAAAACCCAGCAAATAATGACGTTTTTCGTTATACAAGGGGCCATAACTCCGCTGATTGGGGTCCGCTGAAAATTGTCATCGAACTTGGGCGAGTCCTTAAGGCATTTAACCCTGTGACCAAGTTTGAAGAAAATCGGTTAACATTTGTTGTAGTTATTGCACGGAAACGAAGTGCGGCAGATAATGACGTTTTTCATTATTCAATAGCCATAACTCCGCCAAATGATGTCCGCTGAAAATTGTCATCGAACTTGGGCGAGCCCTTAATGCATTTAATCCTGTGATCAAGTTTGAAGAAAATCGGTCAATTTTTTTTGTAGTTATTGCATGGAAACGAAACGCAGCAGATAATGACGTTTTTCGATATTCAAGGGGCCATAACGTCGCCAAATGGGGTTCGCTGAAAGTGGTCATCGAACTTGGCCGAGCCCTTAAGGCATTTAACCCTGTAACCATGTTTGAAGAAAATCGGTTAACATTTGTTGTAGTAATTGCACGGAAACGAAGCGTGACAGACAGACAGACAGACGGACAGACAGACGGACACACCCAAATGTATATCCCCCGTTTCGGTGAAAGCAGGAGATAATAAACTGAATCTTCGGATAAGTCAATGCATTATTTGACCTTCTTCCTCTTTCGGTGATATTGAAATTTTGACATATGAAAAATGGTACGCAGAATATCCATCGCCGACGACGAAAGAAATTCTAGGGAAGTATCAGAACGGAGCGAGAGACTGATATACAGGCGGATGTACGGACAGACAAGAGTGACAGAGCGGCATTTTATTATGTGATGTTCACTTATGTTTTTAGTAACTTTTTACCTTCATATTAGCTTTTTTACTAGAAGACGCTTTGTTGATGCGTTGTGATATATTTCTGCATATCCTCAGAAACGCATCCGAGATCAGCTATGGCTTGCCACAGACAAAAAAGACGAGCAGGAGCTTGATCACGCCATCTGTGCATTCGAGAAGAACAAACTTGAGGACAATGGTGACTTAACGGACGCCAAAGAGAAACTTTCCTACCTCATGCTCAGGAAAGGTCAGTTTAAAATTTCCATTCCGCATGCTCAGTAAAGGTCGGTTTAAAAGTTGGTCTATATCACTTCAAGAGAGATGAGTGTGAAAAATCGCCTTCCTCATTGCAAGGAAGAGATCAGTGTTTAAATTCGCTACCCTGTTGTCAGGAAAGCCTTGTGTCAAAACGTTGTAACCTCCTGCTCAGGAAAATTCAGTATAAACGTTTTCGTCTATCTCATGCTCAGAAAAGTTAAGCGTAACAGTTCGCAACCTCAAAGTTCATTTTAAATATAAATCCATCTAATGCTCAAGAAAAGTGAGATCAAAATGTTGTCTGCCTCGTGAGTCCTCAAAGCTCACTACAGCATTTCGCCAACCTGATGCTCAAGAAAGGTGAGATGAAGAAGTCGTCTGCCTCATGCTCAGGAAAGGTGAAAAAACGTAACTTCACAATCGGGAATATCGGCGTAAGAGCTTGCCGATTTGACTCTCATGAGAGGTTATTGTTGATAAGGATATTATTGGTAGGGAGCTTTAACTAACGCCGGCGAGATAATTTTATCTGGTTTGGAGAATCTTTCCATCAACTGACTGTCTGGAACAGTTTTAAAATAGTTTAATTCCTTGGACTTTCACTGTTTAATTAGTTATTGTTGCCCATAACAGTTTATTTTACTATTTGAACAGAAATTCGGGACGCGATGCTGCGGCGACATCCCGGAGTACTGGACAAGGCCATACAAAATGTTGAGGAGTCTCCGTACCAGTTCAATTTTCAACACTACTTGGACCGGGCCCGTGAACTAAGACAACACCTGACAGAGTTGGACACCTACAGACACGACATCCTCGAGATGGACCAGTCCACCATTTCAGAGATTCGTTCTTACCATCACCCGCCAGATGGCGTTCACGAAACAATGACGTCCACCTACCTAATCTTAGGCTACAAGGAGTGCGAACTAACGGTAAATGTCAGAAACTGTGATACAAGGCTAAACTAACGATAAGTTAGAGAAAATGTTTGCGTTCAGTGACAAAAGCAGACAAAGACAAATATACCGGTAAAAGATGTTGAAGCAACGTTTTAGAGCAAAATACTGCATTTCATTGTTATTGATTATACCTTACAGTCACTACACGTGTTAGTGAGTGGAAGGATAGACAACTCTTGGTAGAGATTGTGACTATATAAATATATAAAATGATGGCAGCATTGGTAAATTAAATGTGATTCAGAATCTCAAATTATCTCTCAGTAGGCAGGGCTTTGGTTAGACTGACTATAAGCCGCACGGGATTATGTTTCAAATGCTCACTTCGCAATGTTCTCTACAGGAGTGGTCAGATATCCAGTGCCTGCTGGGTCGTTACGGCAAAGAGAGTCTGATGCGAGAGGTTCAAAATGCGGACACGGTCAACATGACGGATCAGACGGCATCCCGGGTCGATGAACTTCAGTCCAAATTTACGTCAGACAAGATCCGTGCCGTCAGTTGTGGCGCGGCCACCTTCTATGTCTGGGTAGGTATACGTACAATTCGAAATCGTTCCTGTTTCATAGACCATTGGATATAACTGACCAATGAGACACGAGCTTTGGCTTCGATGCTATGCTATGACACAAACCAGTCGTGAACCGTCGGCACCTTCAGTAAACGTGTATTTTCTCGTTTACGAAAAGTGTCGATGATTCCCAATTGTCACACAAACATGAATGTGTCGAATGTTGATCTAAACACATTAAACGTCTTTCCTACATATATCAGATAATGTGATCAGAGCACCGTGTATTCATTCGCCATTTCCTTTGCTCTTTGCCATACGTTTAACGCCATATAGGGTTAAAGAATAATACGAAATTTCTATAGTCTATTCTTTATATTTCAGAACAACAATATGTGTGATAAATTCTCCAAAGACAACGCTGATGGTAAACAGTCAAAAGCTTCAAATGAGGCACCGGCTACTCCGGCCAGTACGAAAGGACGGAAGAAAAACAAAGGCTAGCTTTGGATACATCAGATGACGTCGACTTCCGTTTTCGATCCAGGCGAAATTTACAACTGTGCCATTCCAAGGCTGACAATTCTTATCTTTTAGATATTTGTCATAGAATCAGTCATATAGAGCATGTCCTCACTGTAAAGGAAAATCGACGTGCTAAGTTTCCTTCAGCTTGCCAAATTACAGATATTTTCTAGGTTCTTTTCGGAAATGTATGGTCGAGAAACGCTGATTGGAGGACTTCAAACACATGTGATAAAGAAATCTGTGATACAAATAATGCTTTGTTTTACCTACTAGGTATTTCCATTTATCATTTTTCATACAAAATATTTATTGCATCAATGCTGCAAAATCCAGCATTTTTTTAAAAATTACATGTATCAGTATATTGACATTGTATTTATTTTATTGCACATTTCCATGTAGAATTAAACCTAGTCAGCTGGTACTGTGTCTCCTTTCAAGGTGAAAACTGGTATGTTTTAATGTGCACTTGTATTCATATAGGTATTATCTCTATAAATACATATGGGGAAGCCAAACTTATTACTGTACTAGCATCGCTGCTTAACACAAGAATGTACTCGTTTTTAGCTCACCTGGTCCAAAGGGCCAAGTGAGCTTTTGGCACGGTGCGGCGTCCGTCGTCCGTCCGTCCGTCGTCCGTCCGGCGTCAACTTTTCACTTTAAACAACTTTTTCTCAGTAACCAAAAGGCCTAGGGTGATGATATTTGGTCAGAAGCATGCTTGGATGAAGGGCTATTCTTTACTTGACTTATATTCAAGGTCACTGGGGTCAAATATGTTAAAAATATTTAAACAACTTCTTCTGAATAACTGAGAGGCCTAGGGTGATGTTATTTAGCCAGTTACATGCTGGGATGAAGGGCTACCATTTTTTTTCAAATAAATGACCTTGACTTACATTCAAGGTCACAGGGGTCAAATATGTTAAAAACATTTAAACAACTTCTTTTGAATAACCAAGAGGCCTAGGGTGTTATATTGGCCAGTAACATGTTTGGATGAAGGGCTACCAAGTTTGTTCAAATAAATGACCTTGACATATATTCAAGGTCACAGGGGTCAAATATGTTTAAAACCATTGAATGACTTCTTCTTAATAAGCAAAAGGCCAAGAGTGATGATATTTGGCCATTAACATGCTGGGATGAAGGACTACCAAGTGAATGACCTTCGCCCATATTCAAGGTCACAGTGGTCAATATATGTTTAAATCTTTAAATGATTTGTTCTGTATAACCAAAAGGTCCAGGGTAATGTTATTTTGCCAGAAGCATGCTGGGTTGGAAGACTATAAACTCTGTTCAACCTAATGTCCTTGTTCGACATTCAAGGTCACAGGCGTCATATGTTTAAATCTTTTAATAGGTTCTTATGAATCAAACACTGATATTCTGCCTGTAGCTGTATTTTAGTCCACTTTTAAGATTACAAGTGTGAGATTAATACCAGGTGAGCGATGCAGGCCCATTGGGCCTCTTGTTTATCATTCAGGATCGATGGGGTGGAGGGATTGGGTAGAAGGGCTGAGGGATCTCGTTTTCCCCTTTATTTGGAGGAATGGACGGGGTGATGGGGTAGGTATTGAGACGAAAGGCCAATACCTAGATGTACGTTAATTGATGTTATATGTTTCATCAGTTTTATAAAAGGTTTCGCATCTAGTTTAGAGAGTTTACAGGCAAACCAAGGGAGACAAATCGTATACTAAACTAGGCCAATGGCATTTGGATGCCCTACCGGTATAACCTGTCACATTTTATCGTACTAAATTTTAGGATGAAAATATTTTTATGAATACTTGTTTAAAATCCGACTTCACACTATACATATATGTTCACCGTAAAAACAAATATGTAAGATAGTTAAAGCGACATATTGCTGAAAACATTTTTACAAATGCATTTATTTATATAGGCCCATTACTGTACACTGTATTTGTATTGAGGCTTATAGACAGGTTAATACGCATGTTTAACCTGTTTAGCATATTGTTTCGAATACATGACACAAACAGAAGACGGTATAAATAGAGAGAGAAAAAAATGTATCATTCAATAAATTACATTGTCATTCGGGAATATAGTTTTGAGTTTTCATTTCTGATATAATGCTCTTCTTCATTAGTCATAAATCGTATGCTGGTATCTAATATAAGTGGGAACACATCGACGGTATGGGGCTGATCCTAGGACTACACGTCTGATAGACAAATAAATATAAATATACCAGGATCCCAAGGTCCATTAGGGAAATGAAGAAGATGAACAGCGATTGAATATCGTGTTATTTAATTATTTCAATCCAACAGACCCATATAGGTACAAAAACAGAATTGTTAGCATGTAGGATATGATATTGTGACAAAGTTGAACAATAAGTTGTGTGTGTGTTTATGTATTTATTTAATAAAAATGTCTTTAAAAAAAAAAAAATAATAATAATAAAAAAAAAAAAGTTGAACAATAAGTGGCTCAAAAGTACGTTTTTCAGTTGTTTATTAAAACTTGACAGAGAATGGCACATACAATCTAATTTATAAGTATTCCTGATAAGATTAACATATATTTGGCTTCTCATAAAAAAGGATGTAAGTACACGATAAGAAACAGAATAGATTAGATAAGAACAGTCCAAGAGGCTATTAACACATTGAAAAAAAAAAAAAGAATGTCTAAATATTTCCGTCGACATTGAGGCTTGGTAAATTAACATACTCTTTGTATAAGGTATAAGTTCGTGTTAACGCCAATGTCTGATAAACTTGTAAGCAGCATACACGCATATTTCAGCAAGCCTTTAGAGATCATCTGTTCTTTAGAAACCTTTCTGTAATGAAGTCAAGGGACCAGTGAACGAAACAACTATATGTACCAGTTTATATGAACTATACAAGAAAGATGTCTGACAAGGTCATCTGTCCTTAAAAGACCACCTGTCTATCGATATCACCTGTCTATAAATACCACAGGTCTATCAAAACTATCCGTCAATAAAGAACACTTTTTTATTTAGACCACCTGTCTATCGATATCACCTGTCTATAAATACCATAGACCTAACAAAACTGTCTGTCAATAGAAGAACACCTTTTTTTTTTATAAAGACCACATGTCTATAACAGCTGCCTGTCCATAACAATGCCCGTCTAGAAAGACCATCTATTTATAGACAACCTGTCATCAATGTCATCCGTCTGTAAAGACCACCTGTGTATAAAGATCACCTGTCTAAAGGATACATATCTGTACATGTCATAAAAACCACCCGTCAAAAACGCCCACCTCTCTAAAAAAAACAACTAAACTTTATTTATTTTACAACAATTATGAAATAAGTTGTTTCATATAATATTAATCACTCTTCTTGGCCCGGATGTGAGCGAACGAGGTGTCTTTATGTGGGTGGAAACCGGAGTACCTGGAGAAAATCACGTGGTCGGGCGGGTGACCTCTCTATAAAGACCATGGCCATCTGTCGATAAAAAGCACACATCAGTAAAGATCATCTGACTATGAAGATTGGAGATCCACTGTTAATAATGACCACCTGTCTATAGAGATCACGTATTTTTAAAAGACCATATGATAATATGTATTATATCAACTTATATCAATAACTATTGTTGGTCAATATGCTATCAAAGCAGGGGTCTTAAATGTGGGAGAAAACCGGATTACCGGAGAAACTCCAAGAGGATAGGCAGGTGACCCCATAACATTCTTTCCATCTCCAATCGGAGAATCGAACCAAGCCGCCTTGATGAACGACGAGTGCGTTATCCACTGCGCCACCCAACCACCTGTCTATCAGAGCACCTGTCTATACGGACCATCTATTGTTTATCAGGATCACCTGTCGTACTTAATTTGAGGTGTATCTAAATATAACGAATTTGTTTGATACAATGTCAAGTTCGTAAGTAATTTAGCAATCTTAAAGTAATAACAACAAAAAGACATGCGGCCTTGCGAAACCGAAAATCAACAGATTACAAAATGACAAGCATGCTGTTTTTCAAAATTACATTAAAAAATCAATTGTTAAACAATGAAGGAAACATCATTACAACGACCAAACACGATCACATGATACGTATCGTTGGTTTTATTAAGATTATCTCAAATTTCACACGATTTCCAAATTTGATTCTAAAACCAGCGAATAGTGCATCTTTATCTCGCATTTTCATAACAAAAAAAACCCCAAATACGTGTCGTGATGAAATTAAAGCAAATATGATTTACATACGATCATTGACTATCTGAACTAATCTGAACAGTAGCATAGGGAGTAATACATATCAGCGAGGATCGCAAATGACAAATAGATGTCATACACGTCGCACGGAATATACACTTTATGGGCGAATCCATTTTACACAAACGGGTATTAACGAACACAATTACAGTTTTTATTATTCTAAATGTAATGCACTTCTATCGCTGAAAGACTTCTAAATGCCCATCACTTAAATAATTTATCATTAAATGAAATTAGAAAACGAAATCGTTTACTCATGCTTACCTACTTTTTTTTTTATAAAACGACAACTCTACCTTTCCATACCCCGTACCTGTCCATGATGGAGTCCCCCGGAGTTGTAGACAGGTTTTGTCCTGGCGGATCCCGCCACTTGATCAATGCGAGACTTACCGGCAGGACTTCCGAAATGGCGTCTCACGGGGAACGTTCCTCTCCCTCTCTTGAGTCTCACCTCGTCAAGGAGCTCCGTACCGTTCCTGCCTGTAGGACCATTGTTGGCTACTATGATGCCGTCAAGACGTCCAATAGGTTTCTGGAGATGGGACTGACCTACGTTGAGACGGGGGTGTGCACGGTCATGGGGAATATGACGAAAAACCTCTGGGCGGGTAAGTAGCTTGTGGAGGACCATATATGTATACCCACGGAATTAGATGCTATCTAAATAATTATAAGTCCGTGGTATATCACATTGATCGTTTTTTTAAGTCTCCGCTAGACCTGGAAACTAATTTATAAAGGTTTTTTTCCCGATATCCCCCCCTCCCCCTCTTTGCCGAGGTTAAGACCTAAACCCTTTGGAATAGAAGCATTATTACCTAAAAGCTAAGCAGAAATATACATCTAATGCAGATTTCAATTATACAAATGATTGCGATCGCCAACTAGATTTGCGGTAGAGGGAATTTCTCTTTGATAGAGCGCGGCGGGCTGGGGATCGCTTGTTCGATTCCCGGGGAAGCAGATCAGTGCTTTCGTTTCATCACACGTAATTCATGAAGACTTCCACAAGTTGGACACAACGGCGCACATACAGGTACTAATCCTGCATTTGGGTAACAGCTACCTGCTTTGAGTAACAATTATATTACTGAAATGGAGAATAAAGTGAAATGATAACATAAAGTTCTTTTAAACATAGAAACAGAAAGGGCATCTTTCTTTCAACCACACATATTTGCAGTGCAGGGTATAGCTATACATTAATATTAAACAGGTCCGGTACACTCTGCCAATTGAGCTATATAGCTGTAAAGACTTATAATAGCTCTATTGAGTTGTCCGGCGTCAATATTTTAATTTAAACAACCTCTTCTCAATAACCAAAAGGCATAGGGTACTGATATTTGGCCTGTAGCATGCTGTGATAAAGAGGTACCAAGTTTGTTCAAATGAATGACCTTGACCAACCTTTAAGGTCACAGGGGTCAAATGTCTCAAAAACCTTCAAACAACTTCTTCTCAATAACCAAAAGGCCCAGGGTACTGATATTGGGCCTGTAGTATGCTGGGATAAAGGGCTACCAAGTTTGTTCAAATGAATGACCTTGACCCAATTTTAAGGTCACAGGGGTCAAATGCTTTAAAATCTTCAAACAACTTCTTCTAAAAAAACGAAAGGCTTTGGGTACTGATATTTGGCCTGTATCATAATGGGATGAAGGGCTACCAAGTTTGTTCAAATGAATGACCTTGACCCACTTTCAACCTAATGTCCTTGTTCGACATTCAAGGTCACAGGCATCATATGTTTAAATCTTTTAATAGGCTGTTATGAATCAAACACTGATATTCTGCCTGTAGCTGTATTGTAATCCACTTTTAAGATTACAAGTGTGAGATTAATACCAGGTGAGCGATGCAGGCCCATGGGGCCTCTTGTTTTACATCCTATTTGCATTGGATGATCCCAAGGACTACACACTAAATAGTCAATAGAGAACAAAGTCAGTGAGATAGATATCAGAATCTTTTTGTGTACAAATGTACCTTATTGTAAAATTTACTAAAATATGCTGAAAGAATGACGCCATTTTAAGCTTCTACTGTTTAAACGACCTTTGTATTTTTAGCTCACCTGGCCCGGAGAGCCAAGTGAGCTTATGGCATGGTGCGGCGTCCGGCGTCCGTCCGGCGTCATTTTTTTACTTTAAACAACTTCTTCTCAGTAACCAAAAGGCCTACGGTGATGATATTTGGCCAGAAGCATGCTTGGATGAAGGGCTACCAAGTTTGTTCAAATAAATGACCTTGACTTATATCCCAGGTCACAGGGGTCAAATATGTTTTAAACATTTAAACAACTTCTTCTGAATAACCAATAGGCCTAGGNAAGGTCACAGGGGTCAAATGCTTTAAAATCTTCAAACAACTTCTTCTAAAAAAACGAAAGGCTTTGGGTACTGATATTTGGCCTGTATCATAATGGGATGAAGGGCTACCAAGTTTGTTCAAATGAATGACCTTGACCCACTTTCAACCTAATGTCCTTGTTCGACATTCAAGGTCACAGGCATCATATGTTTAAATCTTTTAATAGGCTGTTATGAATCAAACACTGATATTCTGCCTGTAGCTGTATTGTAATCCACTTTTAAGATTACAAGTGTGAGATTAATACCAGGTGAGCGATGCAGGCCCATGGGGCCTCTTGTTTTACATCCTATTTGCATTGGATGATCCCAAGGACTACACACTAAATAGTCAATAGAGAACAAAGTCAGTGAGATAGATATCAGAATCTTTTTGTGTACAAATGTACCTTATTGTAAAATTTACTAAAATATGCTGAAAGAATGACGCCATTTTAAGCTTCTACTGTTTAAACGACCTTTGTATTTTTAGCTCACCTGGCCCGGAGAGCCAAGTGAGCTTATGGCATGGTGCGGCGTCCGGCGTCCGTCCGGCGTCATTTTTTTACTTTAAACAACTTCTTCTCAGTAACCAAAAGGCCTACGGTGATGATATTTGGCCAGAAGCATGCTTGGATGAAGGGCTACCAAGTTTGTTCAAATAAATGACCTTGACTTATATCCCAGGTCACAGGGGTCAAATATGTTTTAAACATTTAAACAACTTCTTCTGAATAACCAATAGGCCTAGGGTGATGATATTTGGCTAGTGGCATCCTGGGATGAAGGGCTATAAAGTTTGTTCAAATGAATGACCTTCATCTTTTTTCAAGGTCACAGGGTCAAATATGTTCTAACCCTTTAAACAACTTCTTCTGAATAACCAAGAGGCCTAGGATAATGCCAGTAACATGCTGGGATGAAGGACTACCAAGTTCAAATGAATGACCTTGACATATATATTTTAATGTCACAGTGGTCAATGTATGTTTAAATCTTTAAATGATTTGTTCTGTATAACCAAAAGGTCCAGGGTAATGTTATTTTTCCAGAAGCATGCTGGGTTGGAAGACCATAAGCTCTGTTCAACCTAATATTATAATGTCCTTGTTTGACATTCAAGGTCACAGGTGTCATATGTTTAAATCTTTTAATGGGTTCTTATGAATTATGAAACACTGATATTTTGCCTGTAGCTGTATTTTAGTCCACTTTTAAGATTACAAGTGTGAGATTAATACCAGGTGAGCGATGCAGGCCCATTGGGCCTCTTGTTGTATTTTACTTGATTCCCAATTTCAGTAATAAAATTGTTACTCAAATGGGTAACTGTTACCCACATGCAGGAATATTACATTTGCGGTAAAGGTCAACATTTAAATAGCATCTTATCATTACTGTACCCATTATCGATTTTTGAAGATTTTATAACTATACATTTTGAACCTTTGTTAGACAATTTTTACTTATTTTACTAATCGTATGTTGGTTGGTATATGCCCTTCATTCGCTTACACCACTTATGCTACATGTCCAATATCATGTACTTTGGCCTCCTGGTTATTAACAAACTTGACCTTTGACCTTGAAACTGGGACTTTGTCATTCATTCCAACAAGCTTGATAGCCATTGATCCCAGCATGCCACTGGCCATGGTTATCATTATCCTCATCCTGAGACTTAAACAGAAGATTCACACATTTGACCATTTCAGCCTTTAGAGCGAGTCGATGGCTCTTATTAGGGATGTCACGGTTAACTGAAATAACGGTTAACCGCGGTTCGGTTCATAATAGCCGTATTTCGGTTCGGTTCTGTATAAGTGGGTCGTAGTTGTTTGGTAGCAACAAAGGCATGTATTATTTGTGTCATATCTCGATCGATACATGCCCCTGACTCCATAGTCATGCAACCGCAATAATAAGTACGACTGTGTTCTTTAGGATGGTTTGAAATGGCAGCTTCAACTTGGATTTTCTCGTCGCAGGCGGTATCGTGAACAAGACGGTAACTGAACACTGGATATATGTATAAACACAAATTAAACACTCCTCGGGATTTACCTCTTCAATCAATGTCGGCCTATATATCTAACATAACTTTGAAATCAGCAGCTACGAATGAAATTTGATTCAACACACGATATGTACGATATTGGCGGACATTGATGAGTTAGATTCCGTTAAGTACACCAATTTAATATTGTTATTTTTAGCTCACCTGGTCCGAAGGACCATGGTGAGCTTATGCAATACCGCACAGTCCGTCGTCTGTCCGTCCGTCATCTTTTCCTATAAAACGCTACTAGTCATGAAATACTGAGCAGATTTTAACCAAATTTAGTCAGAAGCATCCTTGGGGGAAGGGGAACAAATTTTGTATAAATTGTGGGTCTGGCCCCCCCTGGGGGCTGAGGGGCAGGGCCCAATAGAGGTAATATAGCAAATTCTTAAAAATCCTTCTTCTGTCTTCTGTAGGAATGAAAGGATTTGTTCCATATTTGGTCTGAAGCATCTTTGGGTGAAGGGGAATCAATTTTGTATAAAACGTGGGTTTGGCCCCACAGGAGCCTGAGGGGCGGGGCCCTATAGGGGAAAAATAGCAAATTATTCTTCAAAATCCTTCTTCTGTAGGAATGAAAGGATTTGGTCCATAATTGGTCAGAAGCATACTTGGGTGAAGGGGAACCAATTTTGTATAAACCGTGGGTCTGCCCCCCCCCCCGAGGGCTGAGGGGCGGGGCCTAATTGGGGAAATATAGCAAATTCTTTAAAATCCTTCTACCGTAGGAATAAAAGGATTTGTTCCATATTTGGTCTGAAGCATCCTTGCGTGAAGGGGAACTAATTTTGTATAAACCGTGGCTCTTGCCCCCCAGGGGCTTGAAGGGTGGGGCCCAATAGGGGAAACATAGCAAATTATTCTTAAAAATCCTTCTTCTTCTGTAGGAATGAAAGGATTTGGTCCNGGGGGGAGGGGTCCAATAGGGGAAATAGAGGTAAAACCTTTATAATCCTTCTACCATAGAGATTAAGGGATATTATCCTAATTTAGTCTGGAGCTATCTTGGGCAAAAGGGACCTTATATTTTGTATAAACAGTGAGTGGCCCAGAAGGGAGGGGCCTAATAGGGGAAATATAGCAAATTCTTCAATGGCAGGATTTTGTCAAAATTTGGTATAAAGCACCCTTGGGTGAAGGGGAACCAATTTTGTATAAACAGTGTGTCTGACCCCCCTAGAGGTAGAGAGGCAGGGCCCAATAGGGGAAATAGAGGTAAGACTTTTTAAAATCTTTCTTCTACCATAGGGATTAAGGGATTGTATCCTAATTTAGTCTGGTGCATCATTGGGTCAAGGGGACTCAATTTTGTAAAAATGGTGGGTATGACCCCTTAGGGCATAGTGGGGCTCTGTTTTAAGTTTGTTCTTGCTATATCTCAAGTACTTGATGGATCTTTATGAAATTACATATGTACTTACAGCACCTACCATGCAGTGATATATCTTTACTTCATACCAATTACTTTAAACATATATTCAGGTGAGCTATACAGGCCCTCTGTGCCTCTTGTTTTATTTATGATTCTATTTTATTTTATATAACCGACTTCGATCAATAAGCATGTGCTTGTTTATTAGCTCACCTGGTCTGAAGGACCATAAAGAGTTTCTACTGTGGCGCAGCGTCTGTCGTCCGTCGTCAACTTTTTCTTTAAAACTTATCTCCTCCTAAACACCAAAGAGGAATTCAACCAAATTTAGTCTGAAGCATCACTGAGGTTGTTATGACCCCTGAGGCCAGGGGGGGGGGGCGGGGCACTGATCAAGAACTTAGCTAAATTTGCTTTAAAACGCATCTCCTACTTAATGCCAGTGAGGATTTCAAACAAATTTAGTCTGAAGCATCACTAGGGGAGGGCAATCATTTCTTAAATAAGTGAGGTTTGTTCCACCCCCGAGACCAGGGGGGTGGGGAACTTAGCTAAATTTGCTTTAAAACGCATCTCCTTCCTAAATACCAGAGAGGATTTCAAACAAATTTGCTCTGAAACTTCATTGGGGAGGGCAATCATTTCATAAATAAATGAGGCTGGTTCGACCCCTGGGGCTAGGAAGACCGGGCCCCAAAGAGGAAAATTATCTAATATTTTGCTTTAAGACGCCTGATTAGTTGAAAGTCAAATATTGTGGTCCCAGTTGGGTTAGAATATAGATCTTGTCTGGTTTTGAGGAAATTTCATATAAAGATGTACTATATTAATGCATTCAGTTGTAATGACTATATAAAACCAGGTGAGCGATACAGGTCCAATTGACCTCTTGTTACACCTGTATTATAATCACCTGTTCTGACGCCATCAGGGTCCACCTTTGATCGGTTAGCGGGGGACGGGATAGAGAAGCTCAAAGTCAGATTTCCTATTCTGGAGAAACCCACGAAAAAGGTGAGCTGGCTAGTTGTGATGCACCTTGTTAGAATATATTTGTATTTCTATAAATTATATTACCTTTGCAAAAGCAATTCTATTCATTTTATTAAAATGTCTGTGAAAATTTTGTGTTTTTGTAATATTAGTATCGACTATCGTCAGAATTACCTTTTATATAAAACAGATTTCAATTAAAAAAAAATATAGAAAAAGCGCAAAGCAACGAAATATTTTCCCAATTTTCCTTGTCTACAGCTCGTGAAAAAGACCAAGCATAAGACCATGAAAAAGGTGAAGAATGGTGCGACTACCATGTTCAGCTCGCATTTTGGCAGGATGTTTACAGTCGGCCTCGAGAAAGCGGTAACCATGACGGAGAATCTCCTGGTCGACCTACAGCCGCCCGGACGCATTTCACCAAGGAAGCAGGACGAACAGAAGAATGGACTAAAGTCGGAGAAAACTGTTCAGACAGAAGAAGAGAGAAAAGTGACTATGGTATCTTGTAAGGAACAACAGACCGAGCTAAGTGGACCAGACATGATCAAACAAAAAATGGTAGGTGGTCACCCAAATTAACTCCTACCGATCCCATTAGTTATTCTGTAAATATACAATCGTATATAGATATATAGATTTACTTGTAAAAACATGTCAATATGACGCACTAGGTTATGTTACATTATTCAAATATAATGTGTTGTAAAGATGCTTTGAATGAACCAATGACAATGTATAGTTCTACAAATACATAAGCTTCGACATTTTGACAGATAGATGTCTCGCACCAGACATTTCTATTTGTCAAAAGGTCTAAGTTTGTGTCGGGTCCAGAGGAAACTCTGGCTACAAATACATGTAAATATATTGAAGGCGGAGGAGGAACTGTTGTGTCCTGGGATAGTGCCACTGATCTCCCCCTATATATGTAAATAGGAAGAGTTTACGCCCCCTCCGCGTCCAAAAACAAACCAACAAACTGGGAAAACACAAATGGTGCGAAATAGATCAATACACATGGAATTTACACATACCAAAGAATAATGTGGAATTTTATTCATTTCAGGCAATTGCTCTTAAAGGTACATGAAATGGTTATGTTAAATATCAAGAACTTGTATATTTATAACACGACAAACCAAAGGTTTCTTTATGACCTTTATTTTATCTGCCACTGGTACATTTAGAGAGGCACAAATTTTAGGCTGTTCTCCAACCGTCCTTATAACGTTTTGTTCGAGTTGTATATTGTATGCGGGTATACATAGTTTTCTGTGATGGCGAGGTGTTGCAGTCTGGTATATTGTATGCGGGTATACATAGTTTTCTGTGATGGCGAGGTGTAGCGTCCTGGTATATTGTATGCGGGTATACATAGTTTTCTGTGATGGCGAGGTGTAGCGTCCTGGTATATTGTATGCGGGTATACATAGTTTTCTGTGATGGCGAGGTGTAGCGTCCTGGTATATTGTATGCGGGTATACATAGTTTTCTGTGATGGCGAGGTGTAGCGTCCTGGTATATTGTATGCGGGTATACATAGTTTTCTGTGATGGCGAGGTGTAGCGTTCTGGTATATTGTATGCGGGTATACATAGTTTACTGTGATGGCGAGGTGTAGCGTCCTGGTATATTGTATGCGGGTATACATAGTTTTCTGTGATGGCGAGGTGTAGCGTTCTGGTATATTGTATGCGGGTATACATAGTTTACTGTGATGGCGAGGTGTAGCGTCTTGGTATATTGTATGCGGGTATACATAGTTTTCTGTGATGGCGAGGTGTAGCGTTCTGAGGTCGGGTCTCGTGCCCCATTAGACTCTACAGTTATGACCCTTTGTTATGTTCATGCTGAACTTTGTCCTGTTGGGGATCATGGATTGCTGAAGTAAATGACTTATTTTTAATTGGCAGGACGCCATGGCTGAGGTGGCACCTTGGTCCCGACTACAAATAGTTCTGATGGAAGTTGCGCTGTTTCCACTGGAGTTAATGGTAATGATGAGTGATGAAAACAAGAGATTTTAGTTTTTAATATTTTTCTAACATTCTGTTCATGCAATCTTTTCTTGCAATGGCAGCATCTTACAGATGTCGAACAAATGAGGACATAAACTTAAAACTTGTATGCTGCTATACAAGAAATATTTTGGTTTAACAATCAGTAGGAGTTTTGTCAGTCCATTTTGTGAATTAAGAATTGCTTTCATTCAAGGTTGAGTTTTTGAAAGCTATCCTTGGCTTCCTGCCCCGTTCGACAAAGACCCTGCCAAGCCGGAAGTCGACTCGTAATGTGAAAACAACAGTTATCTCCCCCGAGAAAAAGATTGAGATCGAATTGAGGCGAAAGGTAAAATTACGCCATAAATTGTTCAATAACGTCTCGAATTAGACGTTACAAATAAGCTTACCCCTCCCCCGACATTGAAAAATAATTTGATACTAGAAAATAACCAAAATGAAAGTCTAGATGTTATATATACAATATATAATAAAAGTCCGCTGGAAGCTTTCACTACATACCTACTTTGCCTGTATCAGAGCATGTATTCCACCTTTATATTGGTAAAAATATTTGAATGAATCAATATGAAGACATACCCTTCCATTGCCATGATGTTACAAATGCTTCACATAGGTCTCTCCTAAAAAGCGCATCCAGTCGTCGTTGCTAGGAAACCTAAAGAAAGTGACGTGCCGGGTGCTAGGTCTGGAAACAACATCAAAAAAGCAAAGCGACATCCGGGACTTCATTAAATGCAGTAAACATCGTAAGTATGGTCAATGCTAAAAATGTATTCATCAGGAAAGCATGTGTAAGCCATGTAAAAAAAAATTGAAGCAATGGCCAACAAACAGTGGTTATGTAACACGATGTTGTTTGTGTCCCACCTTGTGTCCACATTGTGTCCCACCTTGTGTCCACCTTGTGTCCACCTTGTGTCCCACCTTGTGTCCTTGTGTCCCACCTTGTGTCCACCTTGTGTCCTTGTGTCCCACCTTGTGTCCTTGTGTCCCACCTTGTGTCCTTGTGTCACACCTTGTGTCTTTGTGTCCCACCTTGTGTCCCACCTTGTGTCCTTGTGTCACACCTTGTGTCCCACCTTGTGTCCTTGTGTCCCACCTTGTGTCCCACCTTGTGTCCCACCTTGTGTCCATCTTGTGTCCCACCTTGTGTCCCACCTTGTGTCCCACCTTGTGTCCCACTTTGTGTCCACCTTGTGTCCTTGTGTCCCACCTTGTGTCCCACCTTGTGTCCGTGTGTCCCACCTTGTGTCCAACCTTGTGTCCACCTTGTGTCCACCTTGTGTCCCACCTTGTGTCCCACCTTGTGTCCACCTTGTGTTCTTGTGTCCCTTCTTGTGTCCACCCTGTGTCCCTTCTTGTGTCCACCTTGTGTTCTTGTGTCCACTTTGTGTCCCACCTTGTGTCCACCTTGTGTTCTTGTGTCCCACCTTGTGTCCTTGTGTCCCACCTTTTGTCCTACCTTGTGTCCTAGCGGACACAAGCTTCTTCTCATAAATTTCCAGATAGTGTAAGTGTTTCAGACTAATTATTTGTGTATAATGAAATATCTACATGCGTTAATAGCAAACTATAAACTTTTATAATAGATTCAAAATAAATATTGAAATATAAAATCTACATTTGTATTTTATAACATGGCGTAGCTTGTGATCCTTATTAAACCAGAGACTGAATGTTCCCGATGGTAATATGTATGGGGCACCGTTTTACACTAGTCCTTTTGATGTCATTTGGTGATATCCCAGATTCAAATTGATGACATCATTTAGTAGGAAGGAATTAGCGATATCACCTATTTGAATCGATTTTATCGCCAAATGGGACAGATAAAAAAAAAAAAATGGCACCCCATAAATGTACTTGGTTCCAGGGGGACTTAACCTTGACCCCGTTGTGGAGGGTGACGAATCAGAGAAGAAGAGGAAACACCACGATATGTCTGACGAGTCGGAGTCTACGGACGAGGACTTGATGTACATGGACCTACATGACTACCAGTCTGATGAAGACCCAGACTATGAGGTAAAGTAGACACCTGTGCCCAGGGACCTCAATGGCCAACTAGTTAAGGCGTCTGACATTCTGCTACCACTAGCCCTCCACCACTAGGTCGCTGGTTTGAGACCTACATGGGGCAGTTGCCAGGTACTGGCCGTAAGTCGGTGGATTTTCTCCGTTAACTCCATAGCTGTTAGGAGGACGTAAAACACAAACAAAATCAGATCCTAATATTACCTAGATGTATAGCTAGCCCTTGTTCGGAGTGGATTCATTTCGGAGCGGGTCCAGGGCAAGGCCTTGTTAGTGGGTAGTGTTTTTGTTTTGTTTTCCTGTTTGAAAATTTGGTGGATTCACCTGCGTACCACCGTATAGGCAGCTATGCGCCTTATTTTCACGTGTGGTTCCTATAGGTTTTCATGGGGAGTTCCATCATGCATCTGTCCGTATGCTTCTCGTGTAATGTTTCCTGGTCAAACGCAGATTTTTAATACGTATTATGAAAGGGACTGATTTTACACATGTCAAAAATGTAAGTGGATGAAATTAGGATTTTTATGTTTCAGCCGACAGACAGCAGCATCAGTGACGTCAGTATAGAATCTGAGGAGGGGGACAGTGAGGGAGACCTGGAGACGGAGAAAATGAACAATGAGATGTACCAACTAAAGGACAAGGTGAGGGTCAACATGGAGCAACTTCAATCATGTTCCAAATGTTAAATTATAGATGGTCCACTAGTGAAACACTATTAACTTACGGGGTAATATCATGGCTCCCGGCATTTAACGACATCGATGTAGATTTAGGGTCCATATTAATTTTTCCTACTTCATGGCATAGCGCAAGATTAGAGCAGAAGGATAGAATATAAAAACAAATCATCAGTAAAAATGAAATATAACTTAATTGTCAAAATTTGTGAAGAAAACACGTTGATTAATAACAATTTTATATAATCAACAACATAATTAGTACATCATAAACATAACAATACGAGACGCGTGTGTGTGTGGCATAAACTACAACCTCGCCTACGAATGTCCAACGTGTCGGGCACTGTACACATGAAACAGTCAATCACAGATATCGCACAACACACAGTTCCTTGGAAGTGTTAAGTGCACTGGCTATATACTCAGCCCACTCTTGTCTTGTATTCCACCATCTTTACCATCTTCCTCCATCTTCCCGCTCTCTCCCCAACCCAAGCTGAATCCGTTTCCTATCTCCAACTTAATGTTCTGTAAAGGGAGGTAATCCCCGACTCCCTTTAAAAAGGTAGCACACCACTAATGCGGTACGGCCGCTACATATACCATATATAACATACACATATAAAAGTTCTCGATGCGCACACACATATTAAATATAAGGTTTTGAATGGCACACACACACCTTATTCATATTAATCCAATACAGACATATTTATCTTGACACTAATATATTTATATATATATGTAAAGATATTCACGTGATGTGCAAATTAGTATATGTTTGTTTTCGTTTTTATAAGCCCGTCAAACAGGAGTATTATGGTATGGGGTTGTCCGGCCGGGGTTAACGTTTGTTTGTCCGGCAATCTCCTCCTACATTTTTCGACCAATCTCTTTGAAACTTGGTATGCAACATAATCATGATATGAAGTTGTGTCTCCCTTAAAAGAATTTCGATTCAACAACTTTTGCAAAAGAAATTGCCCTTTGTTCATTTCAGTATTTGATTTTTTTGTCCAGGGATTTTAGCTCACCTGCCTTAGGGCAAGAGATGCTTATGCCATGGCGCTGCGTCCGTCAACCTTTCCTAAAAATCACTACTAGTCATAAACGACTGCGCAGATTTTGACCAAATTTGGTCCCCCAATAGGGGAAACATAGCAAATGTTTTCAAATCCTTCTTCTGTAAGAATGAAAGGATTTGTTCCATATTTAGTCTGAAGCATCCTTGGGTAAAAGGGAACAAATTTGTATAAACTGGGGGTCTGGCCCCTGAGGGGCCTGAGGGGCAGGGCCCAATTGGGGAAACATAGCAAATTCTTTAAAATTCTTCTTCTGTAGGAATGAAAGGATTTGTTCCATATTTGGTCTGAAGCATCCTTCGGTGAAGGGGAACCAATTGTGTATAAACTGTGGGTCTGGCCACAGAGGGGCCTGAGGGGTGGGGCCAAATAGGAGAAACATGGCATATTCTTTAAAATCCTTCTTATTCTATAGGAATGAAAGGATTTGCTCCATATTTGGTCTGAAGCATTCTTGGGTAAAAGGGCACCAATTTTGTATAAACAGTTGGTCCGGCCCCCAAGGGACCTGAGGGGCGGGGCTAAAAGGGGGCAATTGCGCTATATTGATTTAGGCGACTTTTTCTCTGGAACTAAGAGATGGATATCAACCATATTTGACTGGAAGCATCCCTCGGTAGTGGAGATTCAAAATTGTACAAATGGTTGGGCTGACCCCCCCAGGGGGCAGAGGGGCAGGTCCAAAAGGAGGCAATTTGGCTATATTGCTATCAAAGACTTCCATTGTAGAATTATGCCATGGATATCAATCATATTTGGNCCCCCACCACCACCAAAAAAAGTTTATTATTTGGAAATGGTTGAGATCCCCAGAACGATACAGGCCATCGGGGCCTCTTGTTTTATAGCATGTCAGCTAAACATTCTAAGAATGATGCAGATCTTATTTCAATGTAAGAAAGTATATAACACTATGACATTCGTCGGACGTATATTGCTCCGGCAATTTTTTGCAGCCGGAATCCAAGCAGGGACAACTTTCGCAGAAACAGGACCCGAAAGGACAAGCCGATTCCAAGGCGCCCAAACAGGACCCGAAAGGACCAGCCGATCCCAAGGCGGCCAAACAGGACGACAAAGCTCCACATAAACAGGACCCAAAGATCCAAGCATCGCCAAAAGCCGACCAAAAGTCTCAAGCTTTAATCAAACAAGACCAGAAGACACAGAAATCGCCCAGTAAGGACCCAAAGACACCCACTGGTGGACCGTCTGTGGAAGACAAGAACAAGAATGTTTGTAAACAACTTCAGCATCAGAAGGGGACGACAATAAACTCCCCGCCGATTCCAAAAAAGTGACTATGTTGTTTATCACCAATTGAACACAGTTATACCTCTGAATAGGTTAGGAGGTTAACTCATTGCTTGTAGGGTACAACTCAGGAAGTGATATTCTCCTCAACTATTTCTGAATACCGTCCACCAGACTGTTTAATTTCATTCAAATTATTTATTTATTGCCAAGTTTATACATATTTCTATTTCATAGATATTAATATACCATCGAGCATTGTTGACATCTGACTAGATTCAATAAACCCGATCAAGTGCAGTGCTTGTTTTGTTTTGTTTATTCACATCAAAACATCTTATTTTTTTACCAAACTATTTGACTTGCCTATTGAAGAATAGGGAGGCTAATGTAGTCACCCCGGCGTTGGGCAAGTTTTGTTTCCAGACAGTGTTGAATCACCACATTTATATTCATATTTTAGGGGCAAAACCCCCCCAGCTTACTTCGACTTGGTTAATGTTTTTTGGCAAGCTTAAGGTTAAAAGTTTTTGGCAAGTTTTTTGTGCATTGTTTGATCACCACCATCAATAGACTGTTATCTATTATAAGGTTGAAGTATGTATATGGAGTGTAAGCAATGTGCTGAACCATATTTTCATGTTTTAGGGGCCAATACTGGTTAATTGGACTTTGATAATGTTTTTGTTCAAGTTTATATGTACGCTGTTGTCTTGTCATCTCTAATTTTGAAATGTAAAACATGAAAAGGTACAGCAAGACCTTGTTACATCGCCACCATTGGTTCAAATAAATGTTTGCAATAAACTGAAGGGAACATATAAAGGAATTCTTTAGAAAAACATAATTAAAGGACTTTAAAATAGGTTTGCAGTAAGCGAGTTGGCAAATTAAATGATGGGCATTATACCAAGGTTTTTTGCTATCTTACAACATGTATCACTAATAGGCTCTAACAGCTCTTGTTAGTTATTTACATCGGAACATACCTCTTAGTACAGGATTTGTTGATATATTGACATCAAAGAATTTATTTCGTATTAAGGATCCCCGTGCCACAGCCTAAATGTTTAAACTACACATTAGAAACTGATGTTTTTCGGCATGACTATAACTTTGATAAATAAATTATGAAAATAAAATAATATACCTTGCCAGACATTTATGAAATAATACATTCAACAACAGTTGAGTGAAAATATACATCTGAGCTAGACTGCACTTAAGGTTCTACTACGTCTAACCGACTCATTTACAGTACACCTACCAGGACCGCCCCAACGATTGGACCAGAGTTGTTCGTTTATGAAACAAAGTTTGACGTTGTTTTCAGGTAGGCCTTGAGAAAGCTATGCAGGGCCTGCCGAAACGGGACTGCCCAGATTTTTTCCAAAACATGGTACATTTAACAAGAGGCCCAATGGGCCAGCATCGCTCACCTGGTATTAATCTCACACTTGTAATCTTAAAAGTGAACTAAAAAACAGCTACAGGCAGAATATCAGTGTTTGATTCATAAGAACCTATTAAAAGATTTAAACATGACGCCTGTGACCTTGAATGTCGAACAGGGACATTAGGTTGAAAGTGGATCAAGGTCATTTATTTGAATAAACTTGGTAGCCCTTCATCCCAACATGATGCAGGCCCAATATCAGTACCCTGACCTTTTGGTTATTGAAGAAGTTGTTTGAATATTTTAAGACATTTGACCCATGTGACCTTGAAAGTGGGTCAAGGTCATTCATTTGAACAAACTTGGTAGCCCTTCATCCCAGCCAGCCACAGGCCCAATATCGGTACCCTGGGCCTTTTGGTTATTGAGAAAAAGTTGTTTGAAGATATTAAGACATTTGACCCCAGTGACCTTGAAAGTGGGTCAAGGTCATTCATTTGAACAAACTTGGTAGCCCTTCATCCGAGTATACTACTGGCCAAATATCATCAGCCTGGGCCTCTTGGTTATTCAGGAGAAGTTGTTTAAACTAAAATGTTGACGCCAAAACGAAATTAAAGGGAGGTAACTTTATTTACGAATATAAACATTGCATCATGAATATATTTGGTTAATAACCGTGTTTATGTGTCCCTACATAACACTGAATGAATTTAACACAGAGGATCACAGAATTGAAGCATCCAAATAGAGCCCAGCTGTTTGTATGATTAGACAATGATATTGTCATTAACTCGATATTTGTGTTTTTAAAGAGGCAAACAATTTAATGAAATATTGGTAACATCCGTTACTGTGCAAGTCCCATCAACAGTACAATCTAATTAAAATTATATCTTCACATCGCCCCCGTTTTCGTATATGTCGCGTTGAAGATCTAACAACCCTCTCCGGGGTGCTGTTAGATCTTCAAAGCGACATATCAGAAAACGGGAGCGATGTGAAGATATAATTTTAATTAGATTGATCAACAGTATGGCAAGTTATAACATGACTTGTACGCTTGATTTTGTCTCGTTTTCGTCACTGTTGCTGTCGCCGTGATGGAACCATTCATAAAGTTGTATGTACATATGTACTGACGTACGTCTTGACCTACTTTTAAAAAGTTGAAAGAAACGTTTTTGGGAACTACTTAACAGTTAAGTATATATTAAACAGAAAAAGGAGGCAAACTAACCTATTGTTTACCGATCCAGTTTTGAATATTTCTTTTTTCATAACTGGCCGATCCTGTTTTGAATATTTCATTTTTCATAACTGTTAACAGGAAAACATAAGTTCAATATTGTTAAATGAACTAACACCGATGAAAGGAGAGTTGCCAAAAATCAATCTTGGACAACCTTAAGGGTGTATTCTACTTTACAAATTATACCTCGAGTTCTTTCCCTTGAACAACTATTTAGTATGCTCCAATAATTGACAATAACCTGCCATGTCATCGGCGTGTGCGATCTTGTATTTCTTAGCTGTGTCAGCTTAAATATGTCAAATACCTGGATCCGTTTCAAATTTCTGAACTCTTTCTAGAGACGAAATACTTGTCATACATGTACAGTTTTTAAACAGCGTTTGATATGTACCTTCAAGTCGATGTGGACACAAGTCTGTTACATCCACATAAAGCAGGCCCCGTGCAATATGGATGCAGCCGATTTGCTTCCATATGGATATGAACAGCCAAGTAGATTTTGACTAAATTTGGTCTGGAGCATGCTTAGGCCAAGGGGATTCAATTTTGTATAAACGGTCGGTCTGGCCCCCCTGGGGCCAGAGGGGCGGGCCCAATAGAGGAAACATAGCAAATTCTTTAAAATACTTCTTATTTATGTAGGAATGAAAGGATTTGTTCCATATTTGGTCTGAAGCATTCTTGGGTGAAGGGGAACCAATTTTGTACAAACGGTGGGCGTGGACCCCCTGGGGGCTGAGGGACAGGGGAAATATAGAAAACTCTTTAAAATCCTTCTTCTGTAGGAATGAAAGGATTTGTTCCATATTCGGTCTGAAGCATCCTTAGGTGAAGGGGAACAAATTTTGTATAAACCGTGGGTTTAGCCCCCCAGGAACGGGGCCCAGTAGGGGAAACATAACAAATTATTCTTTAAAAATTCTTCTTCTGTAGGAATGAAAGTATTTGGTCCATATTTGGTGTGGAGCATCCTTGGGTTAAGTGGAAATATTTTTGTATTAACGGTTAGTCTGGCCCCCCTCGGGGCTGGGGTTGGGCCCAAAAGGGGAAATAGAGGTAAAACCTTTATAATCCTTCTTCTACCTTAGGGATTAAGGGATCCTAATGAGTCTGGAGCATTCTTTGGCAAAAGGGACTCAATTTTGTATAAACAGGACTGAGGAGCGGGGCACAATAAGGGAAACATAGCAAATTCTTCAAAACCCTTCTTCTTCTGTAGGAATGACAGGATTTCGTTAAATTTGGGATGAAGCACCCTTTTGGCAGAGAGGCAGGGACGAAAAGAAGAAAAATAGCTTTTAAATATTTCTTCTTCTGTAGGAATGACAGGATTATGTCCATATTTGGTCAAAAGCATCCTTGGGTGAAGGGGACCTGATTTTGTGTCAACGATTGGTCTCACCCCGCTAGGGACAGAGGGGCGGGCCCAATAGGGGAAACATAGCAAAATCTTCGAAATCCTCCTTTTATTTTAGGAATGACAAGATTTTGTCCAATTGCATATAATTATAACCCCTGACTAACCATGTACACTTATAATTACAGTGACATCATGCTATTCTAACTTCAATTTTGCTAACATTTCTAGGTGAGCGATACAGGCCCTCTGGGCCTCTTGTTTGTATAATAGTATCAAAAGACATTTCTCGACTGGCACTGGTCATTGATTCTTACATTGGTGAGATAAGAAGAGGGAGCATAAAGAAAGTGCTACACAACAATAGTAGATTTTTACTTTATTGAAACAAATCACAAATGTTTTAACAAAACCCAACAATGATCAACATTAAGGAACAATTAGCGCTCATTTCTAAGATGATTCAGATTTATCGGAAAGTTTAAAAACACAAAAAATGATATCATCATTGAACCATTTTTAAAAATTGCTTAGATTAATCGAAAAAGATTAAAACATGGGTAAATGATGATTATGGAGGGACCTTTTACCTGATAATCGAGAAGTTTTGAATTACATATTAAATGATGATATGAATGATAGAAAAACTTTGGAATAGAATTGCATTTAAAAATCATGTTCAGAAGAAAATATCATAAAACGAACTGTAAACATACGGTCTTCCGTTATTAACGATCTTTTTTGAGCACAACATATAAAATGTCAGTATGTGGATGGATAATAACATTAAAATATATCAAACATTTATATACTTATATATAATTATTAATCGGTCTGGTGATTAGCATTTTAAATTCTGTATGATTAATGATACATGAACACTAGCCAAAAATTGTAAATACGGTATCTGAAGCTGTTTTCCGGCAAAACTATGTTTTTGATAAAATGTCTTTGGAAAGAAAACCATGGTACTTGCTACTTTTATGAAAAAAAATGATACATATGTAATCGAAAATAAAATGACCAGCATTTTTAAGTGTAAAATTTTAGGGAACCAGACTTGGATTTGAACCTTGGACCACAGATTGTTATACCGTCGCTCTTACCAACTGGGTTACCTAGGCAACAGATTTATCCTGGCCCAATTGCGCTACAGTTACATGTACATGTACAATGTACACCCAAAATAAAGTTGGAACTCTTTAATGTTGTGCCTGCAATGGGACGGAGACCCTTAAGCATCAGAATTCTAATTATTATATTGCATACCACTTCTTTAAATACAGTAAAACCTCGATATAATGCCACTCGTTACATTTGTCACCTCGTTTACAGTCAACATATTTCAAGGTCCATTTTTATGGTTTTCTTATGAATTCCTTAATACATTCCCCTCAATTTATCGCCAATCCCCTTTATAACATCAGAATTTCTCTTGACAAATGGCAGTATAACAAGGTTTTACTGTTTTTGAAATAAAAAAAATCTGCTTTTTTAAAAAGTTGTCGCCTATCAATTACATACATGTAGTATAGGGATTTATGTGTTTCTCTGTTGTGGCCCTAGTTGATATTTACTAATGTAACACAAAAAATATATTGACAATTTGTCGACACGATGACGTCGGTGTATTCTGTTAGAGAATGTTTCGTGTTCCTGAATAACAGCAAAAAGGTCTATCTCTGTGTACATCTGCCGTAACAGAACTTCAGAGCCCGATTCGGAACGATTTCTCCAGTGTAGATCTCACGGCCATCTTGTGATACAGCTAAGTCATGCGGCTGTCCAAATCCCTGAAGGAAAAAAACATCGCCGTTTTAAAACTAAAACTTCCAGTATTTGAAATTGTTTTTTAAGGACATGACTATAGCTTTGATTAACCTTATAATCGGAGACGATTCTTATAAAAAAAAATCTGAAAGAGGACCGCTTTTACTGAAACTACAGATGTGAATGTCTCTTATATTTATCAATTTGGGTAATTTTCAGAGTATTTTTTTATGAGAAATGTGAGTTGCACATAAATGCTACATACCCCCGTTTTATCTTCCTTTGCGAACTGGTTCGGTGGTTCCGTCCTGAATAAGATCTCGCCATTCAAATTAATTTTAAACAGGAATGCGTTCGGCATTGGTCCACTCACCAGGTACATGGCCTCCTCTGGACCTGTATAGTAAATATAACACCTAATGTTATATACGTGAAGGTTATATGCTACCTTTTGATATTTTAGCCTTTCAGTCGTGTCATTAATATATTATCCAATTTGACATTCATTTGTATGATTCTTTGGGTGGGACTCGTTAAAAGGAAATGCATTTCACATTAAGGTAGCACACATCCTTAAGTCTCCATGTCGCAGTAAAGTAGCATACATCCTTAAGTCTCCATGTCACAGCAAGATGTAGCATTCAACTTGTTTAATACCGGATATAAGAAAGCGTGCCATTAAAAGGAAACTTGTAAAACACAATATAAGACAATATGACACACGGTATATACAAACGGTATTGTTTGCCTCCTCTGTTAGGTTAGTATTATATCCATAAAACAAATTACTGTATGGATCTCTGTTTTATTATCATAAGTTATTTACAAAAAATGTATATAACATCCCATTACGGGGAGCATCTTCGATTCCCCTCACGCGCCCCAGTTTCCCAGTTTTAACGTACATATTTTAGTGCATTATCGAATCTTAACAGCTTAGCGCATTATTGAATTGACGCACCAACAAAATAGGAATAGATCTTTTTTTTTTACTTTCAGTCGCTAAAATACATGTATACGTTTACAGTCTTTCCCTCATTCGGAAGACCTCGTGAGATGTAAGCTAATTTACCGTTGTTATCATAAGCGATGGCGAACACTTTCCCGAATTCCGGATTATCAAATGAGTGGACGAAATAACCAGCCTCTGTTCCATTGTTAAGTCCTGCCGTGAAGCATTGGATTCTGGAATACAAGATCAAACACATGTAATTGTAAGGAGACAATGTGGAACAAAAAAAACTTGATTTATTTTACAACAATTATGAAACAAGTTATTTCAACTTAAATTAATCACTCTTGTTGGCCCGGATGTTAGCGCGCGGGAGGTCTTATTAATAAGTGGGAGGAAACCGGAGTAACCGGAGAAAAACCACGTGTAAATTTAACTCTGACTGCATATATGCATGTAACGTTCACAAAAAAAAAGTTTAAGCAAATCACGTCTTACGATGGTCTCGCGTTTTGGAAGCGGGAGAAAGGAAGTCATGTGACCATATTTGTACTGTGGTATAAAATCTCATCAAATTTGATTTGTGTAAATGACACGTGACCACAAAGGGTTGTATAATGACACGTGACTCTAAATATCAACACCTGATCACGATTACGTACCTTCCATGTTCTCTATCAGCCACACAAATGATGTTCCTGGCCTCGATCAAAGCGAGGCTGTGTGGTACAAAGAATTCGTCTTCACTCAGCGAACCAGTGTTTCCTTTAAACAAAAACATATATATATTCTTTCATTTGGTTTGGTTTGTTTGTGTTTTACGTCCTTTTAACAGTGTTACTGTTGTCATTTAAGGACAAGCCAGAGTTCCCGAAGAAAAACCACCGACCTACGGCCAGTACCTGGCGACTGCCCCACGTAGGTCTCGAACCCGCGACCCAGTGGTGAAGGGCTAGTGATAGCATTTGCATATAAGTAATGCATGTACCACACACTTGTCTTTATCTGACGTCATTGGTAGCCCTAGATTTTGCTCGGACAACTACATCTACAAGTGCAAGTAGCGCTCTAGTTTTGTACGTCGGTGCAACAAAAGTGTACTATCCGCAACTTGAGTCGAGACGTATACAACCATACATGTACGTCTCTTTATCTAAGAAAGATATAATTGTATATGTGTGTAGCTTTGTTAATTTATATACCTCCAATGATTATCCCGAAAAACTTGCAACCAAGGTTACATAAACTAAGAATGGAAAACTACCTCAGGAAAGACATGATGATAGTTCAACCATAACGTAAAATGTCTTTAAAAATATCTGGACGCATTCTTGTTTCATTCAAACTGGATTTGCTGTCATACTTTTTTTCTACTGGCCAATGGACTCATCCTCGATTCCCCAGGAGTTGCTCCAAATTTCGCTCTGCGCAGGTAGCGAAAGTGAGCGTAACCCCTGGAGTATCGAGGATGCAATGGACTGCACTTCGAGACTTGCATCAAAGTTTAAGATATTTGTTTTACTTGTACGTGTATATACAGGCGAAACTATTCGTTACATCTGTAAAATGACAGATATCACAAATCTTACCATCGCTGGATTTTTTGCCCCACTGTTTTAAGAGATGTCCCTTCTTGGAAAATTTCATGATTCTTCCGTTGCAGTATCTGGAGCAGAATTAAAAAAAAATCTTTATGACTATCTTAAGAAACTAGAACTCGTCTGTAAAACATGTATGCACCCGCCGCCATGTGAAGTTAGTTTCACTGTTTGATAGTGTTCTGTTATTAGTTACATCGACTTAATCTTGACAGCCTGAATCGAGTTTTCTCATACCTGAAATTTATATACAAAGTATAAGAAATGAAGTGGCTAGAGTGATGCCACATAATCTTTTAATGACTTTTATATATAGCAACAGTGACCTTGGTCTTGACCTGTGAACCCTAACACCTAAAGATGTCCGAGGTATTATCACATCTGACCTCTGTATAAATTTCGAACAAAATCCAGTAAGAAATAACGTTGGTACACATGTAGACCGATTACACTCAGTTTGGTTGATGATTTTCTATAAATAGAAATGGTGACCTTGACGGCGATGAAATCCTGAAACATGAACCCATTGAGGTATTCTCATACTTGAAATCTGTATAAACTTTGATAAAAATCTGTTAAGAAATGAAGTAGCTAGGGTGAGGACGATGAATCAGTGGTTGATTTACAGTGACCTTGGAGCACTAAAATACTTGATCTTGTATAAAGTTTGATTAAAATCAACGACAGAACGAAGTTGCCGGAGTGTTTATATTGAATCGCGACGGGACGGGACGGGGCCGGAAGGTTATGGACAAGCAACACTAGACGACTTCGGTCTTACCCGTCAGAGACAAAGAAATCGCCGTTAGACGCTACAGCGACATCTGTCGGTTTGCAGAAATGGTCGTCATCACTTCCGGGGATCCCAGCCTCGCCCAAGACGATGTCTGACGGCTCATGGCTGCCTTTGGGGAACATCATCACCTACAAAAAGCAAGAACACGAATGCAAATAGCTTATATGGTTACAGTAAAACAAGAAAGGTATTTTCAAACTTATTCTATCAATCTCGCCATTTTCTCAAACCTGGAGAAAAACAAGATTTTTCTTATTGGTGCGTCATAATCTGACACACCCTAATATATTACAAAAGAGAGTTTTGACTAGCATGTCTTGAATCGAGTTCTAAATGGTGTTTTTTTCATTTGATAACCGGACATTAACAAGTAGCTTCAACTTTATATATATTTACCATTTTGTCATGGCAAGAAAACGAAAATTAATCTAAAGTAACCAAAACGGTTTTCGCATATCTACAGTATCCAAAATCACATACGCAACGTAAGTTTTGGTGTCATCAAATTTTTAATGTAAATTACTAAACAACATTCTTCACATTTAGACATTTTAAGTACCCCTTTCTTACAAAAGCAGTGCGATTTGGAACTTAGGTGTTTATTTTTGTTGCCACACGACGCCATTTTCAAAATAATAATAAAACAAAACCTGTTGTAATTAATTGTATATTTACGATGTTATGATCGGGAAAATTAATATTGCTTTACAAAAGAAAACTTCAAATTATCTAGGTGATATAAAACTATTCAAAGTGATCAAATTAAAGCAATTAAAATTTACGCGTGTTTAATTTGGTACAGTTATGTGGATAAAGGCAATCAATTATTTTGTAGCCTCGGGGGACTATATCAGAGGTTAAGGATATATGCTACCTCATACACAATATTCATGTGAGAGTTATCTCCCCCAAAATACTTATGACAGCATTATGATAATTAGTAAAAAGTGTTACCAATGTATAACATGATTGCGTATGTACCTTTGAAATTGTTAATTAATTAAAATACGTGAAATTTACATTCGCATCCAGGCAAGCTATCTTTCAAATATTTAGAGTAGAACTCTCTTGGCTTGAAGGTAGGTAGTTTAGTGTAGAACTGTCTTGGATTGGAGGTAGATAGCACAAAGTAACTGTTACCTGATGGAGGCCGACGTCTGTCACCCACAAGTTACCGGCATGATCTACGGTTAGGCCGTGGGGCATATAGAACCTGGAAATTAGGAGGACAAAATCAATATTTTTGTTAATTGTGACGTCATAGAGCTCCCTCTTTCCCTCTAGTTTTATTCATCCATGTGGTATTGTATTGTTACCTAATAACACGACGCATCCTTTAACAAAACGATAACAATATAAGGGATTAATTAGATGAGGCTAACTTGACCAGGCCTACAACGCATACATAGGGTACAAGGGGTTGCACAAAAACATCTCTATATATAGATATAAGAACATAAATAACATCACTTATAACTGTCCTGTTCATACTAAGTAAATACATTCCCTTATACTCCGTTTCCTTTCTTTTACATAATTCTACTCATTTGAATATACATGAACTATTAACCTACTAACTCTAACGGTGTTAATTTAAGAGTCTCTCAACATTTGAGAGGTCAGAGTTAGAGACGGTACCTGTCAGCCCCAAAACTGTCCAGGATATGTCCTGTTGCTCGGTCCAGACGGAGGATTGTATTATTCTTAATGGTGTGTTGGCCGGGCGCAAATTTATCTCCCACGAACGAGCTGTGAAATAAATAGTAAAATTAGAAATAATCTCTCCTGGGTTAATGGATCATTGTATTAACCTCAACGGAGGTAAATAATTGTGTGATATTACATTAATAATATATATGCTCTCATCTACCCAGCTGTATACATATGCACTGCAAAACAAGAGTAAATCAATTATTGATGGACAAGCATCTCATTCATTATTTACCTCTTCTATCACATGAAAAATACAACGTGTGTGATGGTTCTGGATATAATAACGCAATTGTAAGCGATATAAAACGAACCCCTGGCGTAACCGTAATATTAGGCTGTATAAACACTGCTAATCGAACACAATAAAGTACGAGATGTAATTGGAATTGAGAAGCTATAATTGTATATGCTTCACATGAAAAGCCAATCTATAGCGCGCGCCAGCCGCTGGAGCCGTTCTGATGCTGCTGTTAGGTGTTTTGCGTGGGAGGACTTCTGTGATAGAGATTCATGGGGTCACAACGCCGACACTAGTCAAGACGAAAATGTAATAACCACATCGCCCTTTGGTGCCATCAGCTAGTTACGGCGCGAGGTAGGAGCTTGACGTTGACGCATTTGGAAACAGTCACCAATTGCTAGGGCAATTCCACAGCTGATGGGCTGCAGTGTTTTATATACAATTGTGTTGTGCCTCGGAAGGGACCAGTAAAAAGGAAACTAAATTGATTTGTACTTAGAATAGATCCTTTTAAGATAAGATATTTAAACCTGCAGTGATATCGTCTTCATTATGTTAGCAATAACACTTGTTATTGAACAACAGTATCGAACCTTTGATAAATGGTTCATGCATGGTATAAAAATAAATGTGTAGGAGGTAATATTCTTGCAGTCAGGCCCGGAGGGAAGTATGAGTCATGCCGTGATGTGGAACTCTCTGTCAAACGCACAAGGGACTCGGGGTTAGCATCACGTGCCAGCCTCAATTCCACGCTATGTCAATTTCAAGTATACATGGGGTGCCGGGAAATGGATTTCTTGTGTTTTAAAAACTCGGTCAATCCCATAGCCTATGAGTAAAGCCAATTTAACTGCGACTAGGAAGATCTGCATCATGTCAGTTGTCTACAAGCCGTGACAATATTTCTATTATTGAATAATAATATAAATGTACAGTAAAAATGACCGGCTTTTATAAAATAAAATATTTTTGGTTAAAAATACTTTGCTTATTCAATCATCGAGTCTGGTTATCGATGACTGTTCAACCAATTTCACACGTAGTGAAATTTTCAGACCGGAAGTTGATGGTTGTGAACGTCATTTTATTATAGGAAGCAGTTTCAAACGAAGAGTTACGCTATAGTTTTAGGAAAGACATCTTACCGAATGAAGTCTTGTTGACTTTACCATTAAGTGTATACAAAGAGAGCTCAACAAAACAGTAGCTAGTCAGGCCAACAAACTGGTTACCATAGCAACAACACAAATAAGAAACTAACCACGTGATACAATAATATATTTAATATAGACATAACACTCCATCATTATATATTGTTATGACAACTAACCGGCATCAATGGTTACAACAAAACATGAATAATTATATAGTCACAAAAGCATGACAACATACGAAGAGCTATTGTCATGACAACACAATGATGGGGAAACTATACTGCATATATTTTTAACAGTGAAAACAGGACTTCATTACCGACAAGTGAAATCATTGCCAACTGTTTATACCGACACCTATATTTACCGACACATGCCCATACAGACACATGACTATACCAACACCACCTAGCTTTAAAGCCGTTCCTTACAATCAAACAAGTTCTCGGACAATATCTTTAAAAATGCCTTCTAAATAATTGTACAATTTACTGCCCGCAAATTATCCACTTCTTATCCTACAAGCTTCCGCTGTTTCTAGACCTTGAGAAGATGATATTTGGGGTTTCGTTACACACTAAAACGATATGTAACATACTGTGACTTAGTGTAACAGAGTTTAGCTATTACCAAAAGAAGCACGGATATGACTCTCATTTTAAAAGAATTGATTTTGTAACACTAAAGGGCTGCGACATGGCACCATTTTAACGATCCCAATTAACGTTTGTAAACAGCAAGGATTTGATCAGTAACTTACAGTTATCTTTTAACGGTGATGAAAACCTTCCACGAAAATGCCAAAAGTTTATTACACACCAGTTGTAACCCTCTTCCTAAAATTCTTTAAATAAATGAATAAAAAGGCGCAATGTGGGAGAATTGGTTCAGCTATATCCCCTTAAATGCCAATTTAATTTTTGCGACATTATAATTGTTCTATATGCGATGAACTATTAAGCGACACCAGGCCACATAAAATTATTCTTTTCAGAAAAAAGTATATTAATTATGTATTTTCAAAATACCGTCTCAAGAATCTAATTTTGGTCTTTAGATTCTCATTTCGTCAATGAATAGACGTAATTAATCGTGTAACTGGCAAAACCACAACCGAACTTCAAATGTGTAAAATACAAAGCGCGAAAGGATACATGGTACTAATAATTAAGCGAAAATATCGTCATTAAGCCTGGATTTGCGTTGGATATTTCTATAGCAACGTTCCTTCATTATCACGAAGATGTCAAAGCTTAATATAGACGATAAATATAGCGCTTCCGTAAGGAAAAAGTCACGAATAGCTTTCCTATACTCTGGGCGAAATTATAGACGTATGATGTAATTAAGTACATTAACAAATACGTAACTTCTCGTTACAACACATCCGTAACTTAAATCACGACAACGCATTAGTAAATATAGTCATTACAACACATCAGCTATAGTCGTCATGACAATACATCAGCTATAGTCGTCATGACAACACATCAGCTGTAGTCGTCATGACAACACATCAGCTATAGTCGTCATGACAACACACCAGCTATAGTCGTCATGACAACGCATCAGCTATAGTCGTCATGACAACACATCAACTATATTCGTCATGACAACACATCAGCTATAGTCGTCATGACAACACATCAGCTATAGTCGTCATGACAACACATCAGCTATAGTCGTCATGACAACGCATCAGCTATATAGTCACTGGTTCCTCTAATGACAACACAAAGGTTTTGAAACTACCGCAAGATTTTTGAACAGTAGAAAAGGGGCCTTCCCAACCCCTTACTTCATTGACATTTGACCATTCAAACACTTGGGGTTACCGATACCTGAGTTAACCAACACCTTACTTTACCGACTCATGACCCTACTGACACCTGACGTTACCGTCATCTAACCCGACCGCCTGACCACTCAACTTCATACATGTACTCATGATCATACAATACAATCCGATCAGAGTTTAAGGATCAAAACAACGTTTACTGTGTCTGTTTTCCCTCTCCCTTATAGTTTTAAGAAATTTTATTGTGTTGCTGCTATATATGTTGTCTTGAGAAAGATGTTAATGAATTATCAATGAAGAGGAAAAATTATACACACAGACGCTTGAAATAGAAACTTGTAGGAAACACGAGGCTACTTGGGGGAAAGTCAAAAGGATCTCTCTGCTAGAGTCGGGCGGCCCGCATTTGTGTAACACTATTCCAACTGAGGGAAGATCCCGCCTTGTCGGTCAGCCTTTCCGGTGCCCGGAAGGTTTTAATCGAGCACGTGTGTGGTTGTACGTCTTTTCGCTCTATTTTCATATGATGACGATTTGTATTACATGTATTTGCTAACATTTTTTGTATTCCCACAACAATACACAGACTCATGATATATTTACATGTCATCAATATATTGCTATGCTGTTCCATACAATCTTGGAATAGTTTGCCAAAATTTCATTCAGAATCCGTGAACAGATCAGAATAAAGCATTTTTCGATATATACAATGTATATATATATGGGTCAAAGAAGTAATATAGACGGTAGAATCCCATATAACACTGGATCCTAATGTATATATATATATATATATATATATATATATATATAAATGTTGTGTTTATACTCACTTGTATCCCCATTCTCTCTCCCCTCGGTGGAATACCAGGATGTCACCGGTTGTGGGGTCGACCGCTATACCCCCTACTTGTCCGATGCTGACGTCACTAGCAGGCCAATGTGGCGCAACTCGGGGCTCGAGTGTATTTATAGAGGGCTTGTCGGCATAGTCGAGGCGCTGCAAAAATATATTACATCATAATGGTATTTCTGACTTGATTAATACTGAAGACTTACTTCACGTGTAATTTTTATACCTCATCTATATAACAGTGTGTCTTGTTGAATTATATTGCTTACATGACGGGGAAATAAAATATCGTGTCACCCTCACGCACTCGAGTTTCCCTTGCCATATTTCCCTTATTCGGATCCACATTAGAAAAAAAATCCACACGTACCACACCTCATCGATCAGAAGCGAACGACAACAATGGCGCAGAAGTCAGACCATGATCAGTGTTGTATTATTGTTCTATATTCATTGTCCTTCGTTAGGGAAACGTGATTCGTTGTTTCCCCTCGAAAGGTCATGTTTCACGAGAGCGAAACCCACATGAAATATAATGTATCGACGGAAAACAAAGAATCGTATTTTCCTACTACATGGGCAATTAATGTAAAATGTAAACTGCAATATTTTTATATTGCTTATTCCCTACAAAAAAATATACATTTATTTACATCGATGTCACTTCATTAGGAATTACACATGGAGATTAAATTTACCCAGTGTCGGCCTGTACTTTAGTTTATTAAACACAGACGCTCTCTGGAAATAGAGAAGCAGCACAACTCATTACTTAATTTGAATGGTGTAATAAGACATTGCACTTAAGATTTTTTTAACGATATGTCTCTAATGGGTAATTATGATGGTTGTTACTCCATCTCATTCATTTACAGTGCATGGAAATGCCTCAGGTTCTTTTTCTTTCCTTTTCTTTTTTAATTTATCCTTTAAAGTTATGGAAATGAAGGAAAATGTCTTCTGTAAAACACACTGATTGATAGTATACTTAAACATACCTGTGATAAATAGGTGGTAACTAACACAGGGGTTGGAGAAGTAATCACATTGATTATGTATCATATGTTTGGATTTCTTTTGATGTTTAGAAAGTCGAATTATTATAAATTTTAGGGTTTCGATCCACGTGTTTACTTTTTATTTTTGTGTATATTCAGTATAATACAGTATGAACCAATGACATACACTGTAATAGTCTATATTACTGCTTCCCTCGCATCAGGAGAGGTTCTAACATATACAAGTGTATGTTGATTATCATGCCCCTGTGGTAATAATAGTTACGTGTGACCTAAATGGAGTACATTCTCTAGATCGTACATCATACAGCCTTCACAACTAGTGTTTTATGTGTTTAGAGGAGCATCAAAGAGGATGGGGGACCAATTAAAGGGAACTCCATTCAACCTTTTCCAACGTGTATACGTCTGCAACATTTGATCTCAAATATACTGTGGCGGATCCATGGGGGTGCAAGCGCTTAAGGAACCCCCCTCCTCTAAACTGCATGTTTTTTTTCTTCTTTTAAAAAACATTGTATTTATTTATTGTTACATTTATTTAGATATTATATATATTTTCCCTTAACTCGGATCTGCTACTGGCATCACCGCAAAGAGGGAATAGAACATGTAGTAACAAACCATTATATATAATTATAGCCAAAGAAATTTATGTTAGTGTACATACGTAGCCAGACCTATATATATATTATAAATCAGAAAAATGATCCTTACGGACGGAGAAATATTATAAAAAGAAAAATTCTAAACGAGTCTTAAGTACTTTCATCTCTTCTAGGGGATTCTTCAGACTTCAAACAGTCTGAAGAATCTCCTAGAAGAGATGAAAGTACTTAAGACTCGTTGTTTAGAATTTTTCCTTTTATAATATATATATACTTCTTTGCCCCATATATATATGTATATATAGAGAAAAAATAAGATTAACGACCGACTAAAAAACTAGCTGCTTTCACCCTTCACAGGGCTCTTCCGCACGTTTACGTTTCCGACATGGCTATACAGCTCACCAGTAACAATAACTGATATTAATATATACAAGTACTTGTCATCAGCAAGGCTTGGTGATGAGTAATTGACAAACTGACCATCAATATACAGTTTCCTTATCTGTACTCAGTAATGATATATGGTAATTAACTATTGCGTTGACACCATGAAACTTAGACCTCATGCTCTTAAGGTTTTAAGATGAGCTACTTAAATGCGGTGTTAATTATCCATTTGACATGTGTTCAGATTGTCAAACCAGCTGCGTCACAGAAATGGCGATGACCTGAGGCGACATCGGCCGCACGAGACGAAAGAAGATATAACATATGTCTTCCCCTAATTTAAAGATGGCGAATCTCTTAATACACAAAATGCGCCCGTTTTTTACTGTAACTCGTGCAGACATCAGAGAAAATTGTTATCAGTTGTTATGAAAGCAATAAATCACCTTAGCTATAGAAATATACACAATATTGAAATAACCGTGATATTTTGAACACATATTGTACATAGGTCAAATTAAATTAATATTAACAGCAGTACCCATTTGTTTACCTGAAGTCTGTCGAGTAATTCCGGAAGGTGTTCATATATGTATTCCTCGTACCCCTGGGAGGGTCGTGCCCCGACCCCACAGGCAAGTACCACAAGAAATAGCACAGCACTTTGAACGACGCGATCCATATCTGGGATCACTCCGTTGTCTCTTGGTTCCTAGTCAGTGTTTCTATACAGCCGAGAGAACAGGTGTAGTTCGTGTAATCTCTACATAGCTATATGACCCATGTGTGTACACCTGTTTGATTCTGTATAGGTGTCCTCCCTGATAACGAACCAAACCAATACTATATGAGTTCTCAAATCATCAACACCGTATTAGCATAATAATTCCGCGTTGATGACGCGCGTTTATCAACAAGTTGCCATAGGGACGCAGGCCAAAATCGATTCTGCTCCAGGAAGCGTGGGCTGGCACCGGATCGATGGCGATTTGTGTACATGGCATATCTACATGAAGACGTTTATTTATAGTGATTCGGGTATAATATTATGGATTTTTCTTCCACGAGTAATTGTGATGTGAGAGAGTCATAAAATATTATTGTGCTTTACTTACAATATCGATTGTGTTGTACGCTTAACCAGACTCATTCAATAGGAATCTCCTCTTTGTCTCCCTTTCTAGTTAAGTAATGTTGGGTGCATCAGCAAAGAAAATACTGTTCTCTTGTATAAGAAGATTTCACGACAAGAAATACATTGATATAAAGTTATCTATCAAATTGCATTCTAGCTGCACGCTAAGCAGTGATAAAACCTGTTTAAGATATTTTTATAAGTTAATGAATTCCTTTCCAAATATATGCACATCAAATGCTCGTGAATCAATTTGCCCCCTATTTGTTTTTCTTAATTCTCGGACTTGAGCAGGGCTACTATTAAGAGTTGGCCTTGCTCGAGTCCGACTATTTTTAGAAATAATTTACAATCTGTAGTACATGCTCAGACATAGGTCTAAATAAGTGTATTGATATTTTGCTGGTACAGTGGCATGCTGGGATGAAAGGCTTTCCAGTTTGTTAAAATGAACAACCTTCACCTTTATTCAATGTCACATGGCATATGGATCAAGTGTGTGTATAAACATTTAAACAACGTTTCATCTACCAAAATACCTAGTGTAAAGAACATTTAAACGACATCAAGATTACCAAAAGCTAAGGCTAATGTCATTTGCCCAGTTGCATGCTGGGGAAAGTTCATGTGAATGACCTTGAACCGCACTCAATGCCACAGGGTCGAATTTGAATAAACATTTTTAAAATTGACATGTTCTCGATAAATGAAAGGCCCATGATGGTGATATATAGTCAGAAGTATGCTGGGATGAAGGGCTGACAAACTTGTTCAAATTGATAATGTTCAAAGGCACATGGGTCAAATTTATTTATATCTTTGAACATGTTCTTTTGAATGACCAATAGTCATATTCCAATTTTAAGGTTACAAGTGTGATATTAATTTATGCCAGGTGAGCGATGCAGGCCCATTGGGTCTCCTGTTTATAACTAGTTATAGTCATTATAATGATACAGCACTGTTGTTACTCCTTAATATTTAATGTGTTTTATCAACTCGATTGAATGTAGGCACACTTGTCATAGCTGACATCGAGTATGGTGTTGAGGCAGAGACATCAGTATCGTCTAGTCATATGTTTCCGCGCGTTACATATTTCCGCGCAGCCATTTTATCAAGCTGTATATGCCGTAAACACGTGACCTGCTGGACACTTTTGGTCATCGTCTGTAAACTGACACAAAAATTACACAAAAAGTTCGTCCGGAAAACATAAGCATTAATCACTGATAATGATTAAAAACCCCACGCATAAACATGCAGTTTTGCTTACTACACTTTTTATCTTGCTCAAAATTAACCCATACCTGAAAAAACAGTGATATTATTTATATTTCATATATGAACCAGTCTTTTTGTAGTCTGACAAACATACGAAGATGTCGCATGTAAATGAGGCTACATTTCCTCGCCAATTTTTTTCCATTTCCGAAGAATGAAGGAGACATTCTTATATCGATATTTCACCAATTTTAAACAGAATAAAATGAGAAATAACCCACCATCAACCAAAACCGATATAAGTCTACACAACTAAAATAATAACAGATTCTATTATTACTAAATTAATTTATAAAATTACAGGAATTCGTTCAAGTTGATATATTAAAAAATCAATAAAAAACGAAGCTTTTTTCTTTTTGGTATGTTCGAGTTATCTTTCTTTGAACACTAAAATCAAAATAGACACACGGAAACATATGAAGGCTACTTCCGACGGGAGAAATTTGCTAAAAATTGTTTGTTCTAAAAAAGAAATAAATACGGTTTTATATAACTATTTTTTTGTTTATTTGTGTACATATCTTTAACAGTCATCCGTAATTTCAACAGTTTTCTACCGATATGAGTACGAAAGCGCGGATGCTCGGAAACCGATAACACGAGGATATATACAGTACATCTCTGGTTGAGGCAAGAGCAAACTCGGCTTTAAAATAAGATTTATCGTGACCTTAATTATTGAACATTCCAAAGCTTGAGCTGCCATAACTCAAATTAATTTAACTGCGTCTACACTACCACTATACTCTTGTTAGTTATTGTCACAAGTCTGGTCTTTAGTATGCCCCACCATTTTAAAAGCCAAGCGCCTGATTGACCCAAACACCATTGGCACATGGTACAAATAAAGTTTCCTGCACCTCTGCTCTCGACACCCAACTCCAGATACATATGTATGTTGACATTTTAAAAAGAAACAGGAGAAACATTGGTTAGAAGGTATATTTTCAGTCACACAAATTTACCACTTGGTGCTTATCTACCGTTACAACGTGGTCCTATGTAGCCTGAAGGGGTACCGGTGCTTGTGAAATACACTTACTGACTTAGCCAGACAAGTCGTGTATTTTTTATTAGATGACGGCAATGAGTTGTGGCATGCACAAGTTATAGCACCTTATACTTCCAAACAAAGACACGAGAGAAGGTATTTGAATACAGATACTAACCATGGCACATACAGGAGAGCAGCCACATAAGTGTGATGTCTGTGGTAGGGGGTTTAATAAATCCTATAACTTTCAGACACACATCAAGACACATGCAGGAGAGTCGCGCCACAAGTGTGATGTCTGTGGTAGGGGGTTTAATTCATCTCAGCATTTACAGACTCATGCTAGGACTCATACAGGAGAGAAGCCTCACACGTGTGATATCTGTGGTAGGGGGTTTAATCAGTCACACCATTTACAAACTCATAACAGGAGACATACAGGGGAGAAGCCTTTTGAGTGTGATGTGTGTGGTAATAGATTTAGAGAAGCACAAAGCTTAATGAAACATCACAGGATACATACAGGAGAGAAGCCTTACAAGTGTGATGTCTGTGGTAAGGAGTTTAGTTTGGCACACCATCTACCGCGACACCTCATGACGCATACAGGGGAGAAGCCTCACAAGTGTGATGTCTGTGGTAAGGGGTTTAATGCGGCACAAAGCTTAAAGGTACACCTCATGACACATGCAGGAGAGGCACCATATACATGTGATAGCTGTGGTAAGGGGTTCACTGTGGCACAAAACCTACGGGCACACATCAGGATACATACAGGAGAGAAGCCATACAAGTGTGATGAGTGTGGAAGAGGCTTTAATCAGCCTTCTGCTCTAGTGACGCATGTAAGGATACATACAGGGGAGAAGCCATACAAGTGTGATGTCTGTGGTAAAAATTTCATTAGCTCATCTGCTCGAACGATACACCTCAGGATACATTAGGAGAGGAGCTTTACAACTATAATTTTTTATTCTGTGGTAAAGATTTTTGTGGTAAATAGTGTACAATTTTTTTTGTGGTGAATAGCCTGCAAGCACCACATGTACAGGACACATCACATACAGCAGGCAAAAACCCTGTGATTATGTGGTAAGGGTTTTATTGTGTCACAAAAAGCCTACAAAGGCATGTCAGGACATATACAGTGATACAAGTCTTACAAATACAAGATGTATGTTGGGTTTAGTCAGGTAACTACCCGAAACAGACACATCAAAACACACAGGAAAGAAACTGTTATGGCTGTTTAAAGAAAGGGACAAAATGAACAGTGTGATGATATTTTGCCAGTAGCACTGGGATGAAGAGCTACCAAGTTTGCTCAAGTGAATGACCTTCGCACATTTAAAGTCACAGGGGTCAAATATGTTGAAATCTTCAAACTAATTTAAACTAAAATAAATAAACTTCTGAATAACCAATCAGTCCAGGGTAATGATATTTGGCCAGAAGCTTGCTGGGATGAAAGGCTCTAAAGTATGTTCAAGTTAATGTCTATGTTTGACTTTTAAGGTCACAGGGGTCTTATGTTTCAATCTTTTTATAGGTTCTTTTGAATCAAACACTTATTTTCCCTGTATCTGTATTTTAGTCCAATTTTAAATGTGCTATTAATACCAGGTGAGCAATTCAGGCCCATTGGGCCTCTTTTTTAGATCACCTGGCCCAAAGGGTTGTGATTCGGCGTCCATCATCTGTCTGTCTGGAGTTAACTTTTCAATTTAAACAACTTCTTCTGAATAACCAATAGGCCTTGGGTGATGGTATACGTATTTGGACAGTACCGGTTGCATGCTGAGATGCAGGACTACCAACTTTGACCCAGGATGATGATATTTGGCCGATCATATACTGGCATGAAGGGCTATACATTTTGTACAAATGAATGACATTGACGTATATTCAAGGTCATGGGGATCAATTATCTTAAAAGACTTTCAAACAACTGTATCTGAATAACCAAAAGGCCAAGAATGATGATATTTGGCCAGTAACATGCTGGCATAAAGGGCTACAAATGTTGATAAAATGAATGACCTTGACTTTTATTCAAGGTCACAGGGGTCAAATATGTTGAAATCTTTCGACAACTTCTGAATTTTGGCCAAAAACATCATGGTATGAAGGGCTACCAGGTTTGTTAAAATCCATGACCTTGACTTATATTCAAGGTCACAGCTGGGGTCAGATATGTTAAAATCGTTTAACAAATAATTCTGAATGACCAGAAGGCCAAGGATTATGTACATGTTTGGCCAGTGGCATGCTGGGATGAAGGGGTACCAATTAAGTTTGTTCAAATGAATGACCTTTGCCCATATTCAAAGTCACAGGGGTCTGTAGTCTTAAAATCATCTAAACAGCACGTGGTGATGATGGGCTACCAAGTTTGTTCAAATGAATGACTTTCGCCCATATTGAAGGTCACATGGGTCAGTTGTCTTAAAAACACTATGAAACGACTTCTTCTGAATATCCAAAAGGACTAGGGTGATGATATTTGGTCAGAAGCATGCTGGAATGAAATACCTTCGCCCATATTTAAGGTCACATGGGTCAAATATGTTGAAATCTTTAATAAACTTCTTCTGAATAACCAGATGGACCAGGATGGTGATATTTGGTAGCACGTGGTTATGATGGGCTACTAATATAAGTTTGTTCAAATGAATGACCTTTGCCCATTTTAAAGGTCACATGGGTCAATTGTCTTGGAAACCTTTAAACAACTTCTTCTAAATACTGAATAACAGAAAAGGACCAGGATGATGATATTAGGCCATTAGCATGTGGGTATGAAAGGCTATCAAGTGTGTTCAAATGAATGTTCAATGTCACATGGGTCAAGTGTGTGCATAAACCTTTTAAACAACTTTTGATCTACCAAATGGCCTAGGACAAAAAAAAAAAAAAACGACTGCAGAATAACCAAAAGCTTAATCTGTTACAGCTATATTTGGACCTAAACTAAAATATATGCATTGGGGTGGCATTTCTACCAAAAGTCAATCTAAACCGCGAAAATATGTAAAATTAATCTGGACACCTTAGTTTAGGTCCAAATGTAGCTGTAACAAATTCTCAGGTCCCTGTGCCCGAAACCACTATATCAAGACATGACAGCGTCATTGCAGTGCGCTCCCTAAAATTTGTTGAGGTGATACAAGAAGAAAATTAGACAAATTGTGGAACACATATTATGTTTATAGTAATATTGACCTTGACATTTAACTGTTTGACCTAAAAAAGCATGTGCCTTGTGCATTAAAGTCCTTTATAAAGTTTGAATCAGACCTGGTCTTAAGAAACTTAAATTATGAGGAAACTGATTTTTCTATCGATAGCAATAGGCGACATTTCATTTTTGGATTGCCAAAGCAATCCGAAATAAGCTCTCTGAGCAAGGAAGAGCTCAAGTAATTGCCATGAAATTGCATGAAAACCAATCCCAAATAAGTTCGTTGGACTAGGAAATCTTCAATGATGTTACTTTGAACAAGTAGGGGAGCTGAAGTTATTGTGTGGAATCTGGTGTTTTATTTATAGTAAGTGATTTGTGATGTTTTGACAAATACGCATTATATATAGATGCAGTTTGTTATCAAGTTATCAACATATTTTTTTTAAAACAGACGTTTTTATGATTCAAATAAAGACAAAAAAACCCCTGACACTTGCAAACTGTTTCTCTTGAGAATATAATGTAAAAAGCAAGTTTTTTAAAGTCACTGATTTTCGCAGATTTGCTAAAATGGTCAGTATTGCGATCTGTAATCTTCATAGATATTGGGTCTACTGGCCATGAAACATACAATGCAACGGAAAGGATAGATTACTTTGCTATTAATTTTATGGGTATCCTAAAAACATTGTTACGTGAACATCAAGAAAATTTAAGAGCTCCTCCAAAAACACCACATTTACATAACCTGTTGATTTAATGAGCTGACCTTTGACCTGAAAAGTATTCCCAAGCAAGGACATAGAGCATCTTGATAAAATTACAACCTGCAATCTTCAATGTAGGGTGATTGAGTCATTCACATTCTGAAAGCACATATGTCTGATTGACAAACCTTTTTTGTCTAGGGTCAAAGAACAGGGAACATCCTGGAATTTGAGAGCAGTGGGCCATTTCAGCTATTTTTAGTCAATGTCAAAATTAAGAGGGGCCATTCTATGTAAAATTAAAAGAAAAAAGGAAAATGGAGGGGTCAATGACCCCATGGTCCCCTCCAGGATTATTCCTGAAGAAGATTCCTGACCGACCCTTTTTTAATTAGAAGAGGGAAGGAAGGGGCAGTGTTGACAAACCATTTAGTATATGTACATCCTAGTTATCTAGGGGTTACACTTATTTTTGCTCCCTGCACCCCTGGAATATGTCATAGTAAAGTTGGAGGCACGTGGCTAGCTATTTGATTGGTCTCGGGTTAATAAACCTGACCAATCACAAGGCTGATACATGTCCTTTGAAGATTACAGGGGAGCAACACCCGACTTCGAAGCCTGTAAATTTTACCGTAATGCGAGCGCGAGTTTCTTTTGATGTACATTAAACGATCAAACTCTACTTCTTGTCTCATCCACAATGTGGCGCGCACTGAGCCTTCAGTTTTGTGATGAAATTTTCTAGGGGTGCAGAGAGGTAACCCCCGGAGTATGGAAGATGGTATCTGTAAAGAGTTGTCATTACATATATCTTCTTAATAAATTTCATTACCGTCTGCAGGTCTCTGTTCTTAGTGGTAAAGCTGAACACAAATATTACACTCACAACAATTAAGTTTTATTTTTATTTATTTATTATCGTAATTTTTTTTTTTTACAGTTCAAGCGGCAACCAGGGTTAAGGCCATGCTGTAGTCATTTCTTTCTTTTCTCTTTCCCCTCTGTGTATAAAATATGCTCTGTGTGTGTGTGTGTGTGTGTCTCTCTCTCTCCAACTCTTTCCAGCTCTAAGTATAAATTTGTCTCTCTATCTCCAACTCTTTCCATCTCTAAGTATAAATTTCTCTCTGTTTGTCTCTCTCTCCATCTCTTTCCATCTCTAAGTATAAGTTTGTCTCTGTTTGTCTCTCTCTCCATCTCTTTCCATCTCTAAGTATAACTTTGTCTCTGTCTCTCTCTCCAACTCTTTCCATCTCTAAGTATAAATTTGTCTCTCTCTCTCCAACTCTTTCCATCTCTAAGTATAAATCTGTGGTGGATGTCATAATTAAAGATAAACTTTATGTGAGACAAATTAAGTCCATAATAAAAAAAATAATGCAACATAACAAACATGCATCATATATAGACAGTATCACAGAACATATACATGACTTGACGGTTAAATAAAAAGACAGGTTTGTGAAATCTTTTTTTAAGCACCACCTTAAAATATCAAACCATACACTGAAGTGAAATTATACAATAAATGAGATCCATAAGTGTACTTATACCACTTTATTCTGTTTCATAATCATTGGCTAAAAAGGTACCAAAGTTTCATAATTATCAATCAAGAAGGTAATTAGTAACAAGAGCACTGCAAACGGATGCATAATACCCCCGACTGACCCTATCCAATGATTTTTCGTTTGTTAAATTAAATCCCTATTGTCCTTCTTAAGACTCCACATGAACATCCATGCCAAACATTAGGACAATAACACGTGATCTGACTGAACTGTACACCACTGAAGAAACTTGCACCAAAACTTAAGCCAAGAAATTAAGCGTGAAAAAATAAGTCCCAAACACGTCAAAAATTTACAAAAATAGAAATTATTTTCCCAAATTAAATACATATTGTCCTTCTTAGACCCCACATGAACATTCATGCCAAAAATTAGGACAATAACACATGATCTGACTGAACTGTACACCACTGAAGAAACTTGCACCTAAACTTTAACGGGAGGGACAGACAGATGGACGCAAACGCTATTCCATAATTCATCCGTCGAATTTCGACGGGCGTATAATAAACAGAAATCTGAAAAGTTACAAAACCCTCAAAATCAAAAACAAAACTTTAAAGCTGACTGTACATGTGGTCAACGTACTTTAGGAAGTCAGTAGAAGGGACATAACTCCCATAAGAAATGTCAAAATTAAAAGCACAAGTACCACCAATACTGATAATGTGTACAAAGTTTCATAAATACTTTAGATGATTGAAGATTTTTATTTTTAGAAATAAAATATGGTACATTCGTAACTGTCGACAAAATAATCAAAATCAAAAAATAAATTGCAAGTGCACAACTAGTTACTACATATTAAATGTACTGATAATTAGGTGTAATTAGATTAATGAAATTCATGAAATTGATTGAGAAGATAAGAAGTCTTTGTTTTTCTGTGGGGTATAAAAATATTTCGTTTTCCAAAATGACCTTTATTTTTGCAGAAATACATATAGCTAAAAAAAAAATTCACTGATTGTGTGGTATCATTTGCTGAAATTGTTCAAATAATATAGTCCTACGGTTGGTAAAGAAAAATTAAAGGCAATGTTTTGATATATGACATAACAATATGGTCACCCTGAACATTTGACATATAATGTTGTTTGTATGGAGATCACTTAAATACCTTAAGCATGTTTATACAATATTAATACAAAATAAATATGCGTAGATTATCAGCTGATGCAAGCTTTCCATAAAATTAAGTATGAATTTTTATTACATGTTACATGTGGTACAAGTTGTACAATTACCAATTGATAAACAAGATTCAAATATCTTGTTAGTGAAATGATATTATTTAACCTCCAAGCAACTGTGAATTATGAAATAAATTGTCACCGTGAATTTTGGAATTTAACACAGTTCTGGGGTTCTGGATAGTCTTTGCAAGACAAACACTAGAACTGTAAGCTAAAGGCTAACTAATACCCCCGCTCCTATATCAACCAGAACTTTAAGCTTACTTAAGGCTGACTAAGGCAAAGCAAATAGTCTCCCACCAGTAACAAGTATTTCGCACAAAGCTTCCAAAGGGGCATAACTCTATCAAAAGGGTCGAAATCCCAAATTAAAATGCCGGTGCACATAAGATACTGATCATTCATGCAAAGTTTCACTGAAATCCACCTGTTAGTTTAGGAGGAGTTGTGCGGACAAGTATTTCACACAAAGGGGCATAACTCCATCAAAAATGGTCGATATCCCAAATTATAATGCTGGTGCACAACTCCATAAGATACTGATCATTCATGCAAAGTTTCAATGAAATCCACCTGTTCGTTAAGGAGGAGTTGCGCGGACAAGTATTTCGCAAAAAGGGGCATAACTCCATCAAAAAGGGTTGAAATCCCAAATAAAAAAATGCCGGTGCACAATCAAGATACTGATCATTCATGCAAAGTTTCAATGAAATTCACCTGTTGGTTAAGGAGGAGTTTTCCGGACAAGTTACAGCAGACGACAGACAGACAGACATCCAGACAGGGCGATTGCAGTATACCCCTCCTAACTTCGTTGCGGGGGTATAATCATAGAAATACTTATAATTTATCCTTACAGGCACATTAAAACAAACCTTTGAATAGAAAATCTGAATTATGTTGTCATATAAATATTGATCTACATGTATATATTGAGTATATTATGGCACTTCCAAAGGTTAACGGACAATAACATATCCTCGATACCCCAAGGGTAACGCTTACTTTTGCTCTCTTCACCCCTGGAATATATCAAAGCATAATTAAAGCACAAAGATAGATATTTTATTGGTCTTAGGTAAAATCGCCTGACCATTCGCTAGGCTGATATATATATACCTGTCCTTTGAAGATTAGAGGAGCGACACCAGATTTTACCGTTACGGGACCACGAGGACTATAGTTTGATCTACTTCAAAGGATCATACTAGTCCTCTTGTCTTATGCACAAAGTGGCGCACACTGAGCCTTCGATTTTGTTGCGACATATTCCAGGTGTGCAGAGAGCAAAAGTGAGCGTAACCACTGGAGTATAGAGGACGGCAATAACAAAGTCATAACAATCATATTTTTCGCCTTGAAAACTTAACAAAACAAACATAGAATTATCACAGATCTATCCGGAGATTGCACAGACGTTAACAACCTTCTGCACACTCTTCTTTCATCACCTCCTCAGATACATTTCCAACAATTACATTCCACTATAAATGTCAAGGGATATCAACAAAAAGCTGACTGTTCCAGTCCGCGAAATACAAAAATATAAGGGCCAATACATATACATATGGCAGTATGATTGATGTGTTCTATTTTACACATATATTTTACAGTACAATCATCAACAATTCTTAAGCTGATGCACCAGTATCAGTGCTAATCTTGACACTTATTGCAACAAACCCAAAGCTATGGCATCGCTAATAGAATCGATTCTAAAGTCAATGACTAACGTCAGTAATGTGACGACAATCTTAAATCTGATGTACTGTGAAATCACAAATTTTGGTGGGGCTTTTAATTTGTTGATTTTGTTGGTTATCATCATCCATGAATTCAAGTAATTACAAATTGTGATATAAAGCAATTCTGTTTGAGTGGGTAGTTGTAATAAATGAATTCATGTATCCATCACTGTTGGAGACAATCGTGAAGCTGTTACATTTCTGGCAACACTACTGATGATATCTCTAGCATTGTTACTCTGTTTAACAGGTGTGTAGTCTGTACCAGAAGGCTGATATCTCCTGCGTAGCTTCAGTCCAGCACTACACCTCTTTGCCACTTCGACATCCTTGGATGCTCAGGTGAAGGAACGCTTTCAGGCTTCAAGGAGGAATGATAGCTAGGTAAAAGAAAAAGTAACACAAAAATCATTTATCATTTTGTGATAATTATTTATTATACGCAAATCTAAAATGATTATTTAAATTACCTACTGATTAATCATTTTAAACAAAGATGCCCAATAGACTAAATTCCACTATATTTTACCTTATTACAGCATATTTCACAATTTTCGCTGTGGGTATGTGCTTAGGCAATTTGTGTATAACAATTGATAACACTTCTCCCCAGCATATGTTTCTGTAGAAAATTTTGCTTAACCCTTTCACCACTGTAGACCGTAATGGACAAATCCAGATCAATGCATGGTAGAGTCTACTAAAGTAACATAAGAGTGAAAGGGCCAAGATGGAAACACACTTCACTCCTTTGACCTTGACAATGAGTCAAAGTAATGTATGTAAACATCTTCAAGTCCTATACTTCAGCAAGCTACTGTTCAAATATTACTCCAAGTCCCATAGTTTTCTAGAAATCATTTAAAGATTTTCCAAGAACACAATTAATGGCTTTGACCTTGATGTACATGGGGCCTGTTAATAGATTCGAACAAAGTGGATAGCCCTAAGTTCACCTCAGCAAATTATAGACCAATCATAGCCCTAAATTTAACTTACCAAATTATAGACCAATCATAAAGCTTAACTTCCTAGTTCTGTATAAGTAGGTTACATAGTTTCATAAAAGAGGCCCAGAGGGCCTGTATCGCTCACCTGTTTCTTTTGTTACATGAAACTGACATATAGGTAACTTCAGACCAAATTTGGTAACTAGAACACAAGACATTTAACATCTCTTAACCGCTTCTTAAGATATTGTTGTTTGAAATTTGAGTGTGAAATTGTAATCTTAAAGCTTTTAACCAATGTTGACTTTTGACTCCGGCGAGCATTTAAAGTTAACATTTGACCTCATTACTGTAATTAAGAAAAAGATTCACACTGCTGGTCTTCATAACATACCCAGGTATCATGACTCTAGTACGAATGGTTCTTAGGATATTGTTGTTTGAAGTTTTTAACATATTTGACCCCTGTGACCTAGAAAGGAGATCAAGGTCATTTTAATGAGGTAACTTTATAGCACTCCATCCCAGGAAACTACTGACCAAATACTATGACCCTGGGCCTTATGGAACTTGAGAAGAAGATTGTTAAAGCTTTTAACCCATGTTGACATTTGACCCCTGACTAGCACTTTAAGATGACCTTTGACCTCATTACTGTAATTAAGAACAATATTTGCACTGCTGGTCTTCATAACATACCCAGGTATCATGATTCTAGTCCAAATGGTTCTTAGGATTTTGTTGTTTGAAGTTTTGAACATATTTGACCCATGTGACCTTGAAAGTAAGTCAAGGTAATTTAAATGAGGAAACTTTACAGAACTCCATCCAAGGTACCTACTGGCCAAATATTATGACCCTGGGCCTTATGGAACTTGAGAAGAAGATTGTTAAAGCTTTTAACCCATGTTGACATTTGACCCCTGACTAGCACTTTAAGTTAATCTTTGACCTCATTACTGTAATTAAGAAAAACAATTGCACTGATGGTCTACATAACATTACTTAGTACCATGAATCTAGTCCAAAAGGTTCTTAAGATATTGTTGTTTGAATTTTTGAACAAATTTGACCCCTGTGACCTTAAAAGTAGGTCAAGGTCATTTTAATGAGGAAACTTTATAGCACTCCATCCCAGGTACCTACTGGCCCTAGGTCCTCCAGTTCTTCAGAAGAAGTCGTTTAAAAGAAAAAGTTGACGGACGGGCGCCGGACGCCGCAGTACGGCATAAGCTCACATGGCCCTTCGGGCCAGGTGAGCTAAAAATCAACATATTTGCCATTTATAAACTTCAAAGTAAGTCAAGATCAATAAGGTGTACAAAATTGAAAGCCCTTCACACAATTAATACCCCTTGGCCCCATGTTTCATTAGAAGCACAAAATTAACACCATTGGCCTAATGTTTCATTAGAAGAAGTCGGGAAAATATTATACCGCTCTTGAGGACACTAGAGGCAAAAGAAATCTAGACAATGATTTTTATTAATTTCGCATATATTGTTCTTTAGGGTGTACCTAACAAAATATTATAATTTGAGAATAGGTTTCCAGGCTATTTTTTAAAATATTCTTTGAAAGAGTTACCCCCCCTTTCAAGTCGGAAAAAATGTCATTTTTTTGCCCTTTTTAAATCATTAAGGTACCCGCCAAAAAAAGTTTTTTTTTTTTTGAATTTGTCTGAGAAAAATATGATAAATGAATATTTTGAAATATATTAGACATAAAATTTAATTTTTTTTTTTTTTTTTTCAAAACAGCTTCCCTTTTTTTGCAATATACCTACAACTGGCTTAGGTAAAATTTCGCAAAAACAAGAGGCCCAGAGGGCCTGTGTCGCTCACCTGAATGTGTTTAAAATAATTGGTATGAAGTAAAGTTATAGCACTCAATAGTAGGTGCTGTAAGTACATATGAAATTTCAGAAAGATCCATCCAGTACTTGAGATACAGGGAGAACAAACTTCAAACAGAGCCCCACCCCTATGCCCCTAGGGGGGGGGGGGGGTGTCATATCCACTGTTTATATAAAATTAAGCCCCCTTGGCCAAAGGATGCTCCAGACTAAATAAGGATAAAATCCCTTAATCCTGATGATCGAAGAAGGATTTTAAAGGTTTTACCCCTATTTCCCCTATTGGACCCCGCCTCTCTGCCTCTAGGGAGGTTAGACACACCGTTTATACAAAATTGGTTCCCCTTCACCCAAAGATGCTTCATACCTTATTTGGACAAAATCCTGCCATTCTTACAGAAGAAGGTATTTGAAGAATTTGCTATGTTTCCCCTATTGGGCCCCTCCCTTCTGCCCCCAGGGGGGCCACACTCGTTGTTTTTACGAAATTGAGTCCCTTTTGCCCAAGGATGCTCCAGACTAATTTAATCGCTATGGAAGAAGAAGGATTATAAAGGTTTTACTTCTATTTCCCCAATTGGGCCCCACCCCTCAGGTCCCAGGGGGGCCACAACCACCGTTTATACAAAATTGGTACCCCTTTACCCAAGGATGCTCCACACCAAATATGGACCAAATCCTTTCATTCCTACAGAATAAGAAGGATTTTCAAGGTTTTACCTCTATTTCACCTATTGGGCCCCGCCCCTCTGCCCCCAGGTATGCCACACCCACAGTTTATACAAAATTGAGTCCCCTTGGCCTAAGGATACTTCAGACCAAATTTATATATATTATATACTATATATCTTATTTCAATCAACAATAGTTATTAACAAGAGGCCCAAGGGCCTTAGCAGTCACCCGAGTTATATCATAGGTACTGGTAGCTTTATTTTATTGTTTAGATGCGATGTGGAAATCAGCATGTAAACTAAGTGAAATACAATACTTGTCATGTCATCAAAGGATAAGAATTTGAAAATATTGGTAAATGTTCCCTTTGGGGCCCCGCCCTAGCCCCTGGGGATGGGGCAGGAATCCCAATTTTCCAAAGTAATACTCTCATTCACCAAAGATGATTCTGACTAAGTTTGAGTAATTTTCTGCTGAAAATGGATAAAATATATACCCAAAAGTGTTATTTCCCTATATAAACTATAGTAAACTTTACCCCCTCCCCAAGGGAGAACGGATAGCTCGGGGGTCCTGAAATTTACAATTTAAATAAAGCCCCTGATGATCTTTCCATCCATGCAGAGAAAATGACTGTAATACCTCTGAGTCTGGAGAAGAAGATTTTTGAAATATTGGTTAATTTTCCCTTTTGGGCCCCGCCCTGGCCCCTAGGGTTGGGGTAGGAATCCCAATTTTACAATTTAAAACCATCTTCCTCCTCCAAGGATGATTCTGACCAAGTAAAAATAATTTCCAACAGAAAATTGTCAAAATATACCCAAAAGTGTTGTTTCCCTATATAAACTATAGTAAACTTTACCCCCTCCCCAAGGGAGAACGGATAGCTCGGGGGTCCTGAAATTTACAATTTAAATAAAGCCCCTGATGATCTTTCCATCCATGCAGAGAAAATGACTGTAATACCTCTGAGTCTGGAGAAGAAGATTTTTGAAATATTGGTTAATTTTCCCTTTTGGGCCCCGCCCTGGCCCCTAGGGTTGGGGTAGGAATCCCAATTTTACAATTTGGTATCCTCATTTACCAAGAATGATTCTGACCAAGGTTGAAAAACCACCATCCACTGGTTCTTGAGAAGAAGTTGATTATGTAAAAGTTTACGCACGACGGACGACGGACGACGATGGACGGAAAGTGATTGGAATAGGTCACTTGAGCAAAGCTCAGGTGACCTAAAAACAATATTCATTTAACCTTGGTTTTTGACCTCATGTTAAAAGGATTGTCCAACCAATTTTATATATCATTACGCTTGATCACCATCCCAGCAAACTACAGACATGATCTTATTGTCTATCTATTGTGGAAGTTTGTTTTTGAACTGAATTCATACCTTGTTGATGTATCGAATACGAGACATTACTGCAATGTGTCGAACGCATCTGATTCTTGAGAAACAAAAGCCTGTATCTGGAAAAGAAATGAATAAAGTGAATAAATCCGTTGTTACATGTGACGAGGTAGTTGTTGAAACACAGAATCTAAACCTGTGGCCTGAATTGCTCACTTGTAACAGAGTTGGTAAAAACACATTAAAAGTTTATATTTAATCAACTGCTAATACCAGTTTCAGCCAATCAGGAGCCTGTGGTGGTCAGACTTACTGTTTTCCTGCAAAATTCACGAGTATAGTTCTTGCTGCTGCTTTTTTCTTTGTTTCTATTGTTTTTGATACATCACAGGGAAATGGCTGCCATTGTCCATTGTCACAGAACAACCAGTAATGGTCATATTGGTAGTCGGGATCTTGAAAAATGAAATCAAAATTTGTTACGAAAATGAACAGATACAACATATCTTCAAAAAAAATTAAGGAAGACCACTGAAGAGAAACTAAGTCCCACTGAATATTTACAAGTACAGAGATGAATTTTCAATTAATGTGTACTGAAATCATAAACAAATAAATTGTCATATATTAAAAATCTTTCAACAATACTTACCTTGCTCTTGAAACCTAAAAAAATAAATAAAAAAATATAAGGAAAGTTGAGTTGAAAATACAAACCATGGTAAAACAAGGGTAACATTATAGGCCCAATACCACACCCACCTAGAGCATAAAAAACAACTATTTATGTATTTAACTCATTCAGCCCTACAAACTTTATCTGGACTAACCCAGTCTTTGATTTGGTAAGGTTCAAAAGTGCCTTTAGGGGTGTATGGGTTAATGTAACTGTAACTAGAGAAACTGTAAGCAACCTCACAAGATATACCTCCTGCTTGTGCTTACAATGTTTCTGCTCCAGACATCAAAGCTTCAAGGGCAACACCTCCAGGAAAAATAGATGAATAACTAATTCCTTTCTTCATGCGCATTTACATGTGACATGTACTTTAACTGTGCCAAGTTACATAAAACAACAACAAACTGTTACCCGGGTAAGGAGAAGTTGCGTTAACAAGATTTCTGGAGCACTCGAAGGTGGCTATGATAACAGACAACTACCCTGTCTATCCAAAAATTAGATTGACAACCACAAACTTGATTTTTCTTCCACCTGGACCATGAACCAGGGAGGGGATCATTCAAAACTTCAAAGTCCACCACCGGAAGAGAGTTCTTAAATAAATCATCTAGTGTTCTGTCTGGAAGACAACAACCCAGACTAGCATCCTTGACATTCTTTGGATGATGGCTGCTCGTGGCGACAGGTGACCACAGAAAAGAGGATTGTAAACGCGGCTTCAGACATGCAGGCTTTATCACTCCATCAACTCCATTACCGACAAAGTCAATTACTATGACGATGATGATGACCTCCTAGCCACGACTTACCCGTCTGCTGTTCAAAATCTAAGAATCATACACTGACCAGTGAGCTATTGATGGACAAAGACATAAGAAGTGAGGTCCAACAAAAGAACTCCCACCCTTCAGAGAGCGATGATGACGATGAAGTTCATGTAAAGCCACCAAGACCAATTCCCTATAGCTACGAAGCCTGTGAAACTGTGCTTACACAAAATATTCCAATGAAATGCTTGCCATGATAGCAATCATTTCCAGAAAGGTACAACAAATTTCTTGTGGAAACGCGTGCAACAGCAATCAAAATTGACCGAGTTCTTCACCGACTTGTCAATAATGGTGATAGATCAATGTTAAGGTAAAGCTGCTCAGAGACTGATAACTAAGAGGTATACAGAGACTAAGAGTACAGAGACTAAGAGGTATACATAGACTAAGAGGTATACAGAGACTAAGAGGTATACAGAGCTTTCTACTTTTGAGACTTTGTTGCTTACTCCGATATAATGTTTATTAGGTGAACATTCCCGTAGTCAGATACCCCAGTGCTTTTACCTGACCTTCTGTAATGATTTTAGAGTAAAAAATCCCTAAATTTTGTTCCGGTTGGAGTGGAAGCTGTTTATATATTTAGTTATAAATGTCAGTACAGTAACCACATTTTTATATCTTATTCATGCTACTGACAATCACTGGCTGAATGTACAAATGTGCATCAAAGTGCACTGTTATCAGTGACATTAAAGTTGCGCTTTCAACAAGAATGATAATATAACTATATGTATGTAATTTGTTAATTTTGTAATTACCAGTAATTAAAATTCCTTAAACTGATCTAAAATCTTTGTTTTTGTTTTTTGTTTGCATGTAACAAATGAGGATAACATATTGATTTACCGGCAGTATTCATGCTGACGATCCTCTAACAGTTAACGGAACACATCCCGGGTCATTCCAGTGCTCTTGCACTATATACAACTTGTATAGAGCACTAGTTAAACCTACGGATAAGGCCAAAACAAATTGATTACTTGGTTCTCAGGCCCGCGCGCATTTCATTTTAGGGCACCGCATTGCCGATTTTATCGTGAAAGTACAGGCAATCNCAAAACAAATTGATTGCTTGGTTCTCAGGCCCGCGCGCATTTCATTTTAGGGCACCGCATTGCCGATTTTATCGTGAAAGTTCAGGTTTCGGAGGCTTGCTCTATGAAGGGTCTCTACACAACTATAAAAAGACAAGGTTATGCCCACAATGAACGTTTTACAAACTACACATTAAAAAATACCTCCCTGCCGCATCTCTTTTGAAAAATATTGGCCTGAGAACCAAGTAAAAAAAAAGTGTTTGGCCCAAGTAAAATATTTGTATTGGTCCCGACCTCTTTGACTTATCTGAGTTTCACTGTAGATAGAAAAGTATACACAAGCCATTCAAATTGATTGTCTTGCCCGCTTTGCCTATCAATGCACATGTTAATTAATGTTGATGGAGATGCTGACAAAGTCAATGGACCATGAAAGGTAGGCATCACCGAGCATTTGATGCATGTGTTGAGATGTACTACCTAAGATGCATATATGGTCCAAGTTCGGTTGGTCTAGCACTTAAATGCAAAAACTTAATGTTGACGCCGCCGTTGTTGCCAGAAAAGCAACACCTTAGTCTCGCTTCTGCTACTTCGTGGCTGCGAGACAAAAAACCATTGCATAAACACTCATAGCTATAGAGCAGTATATGTACTCTGTTATATACTCTATACCCTCCAAATCTGGAGGCAGTGACATGACTTTCTGCCAAGTCTGTAGCATTAGACTACATGAATCACTACCGTGAACATTAAACATGCATGTTGCTGTCAAAGGGTGAATAGAACTGACAAGAAATTAGACTTTTATTTGTATTTACCTGCAGATATCAAAAATGGAATGCCTGCGTATCTGGTCACCTCTCCAAGCAACCTGCAACAAGCATTATACTGTGGACTAAAGAGTTCAGTATGAAACATGCTAGGCCCTTAACAAAATTTGGTTTTGAAAAATTATAAAAACAGCAAACAGTAAAAAACCTAGAGATCAGAAATTAAATGTATATCTTCCCCCCTTAAGCTTAGATCTTTTACAAAGTGCTTACAGCATGCATTATAACCCCCTTCTAGTCATGACAAACACATCTGTGAAATTTCCTAACAAACTATATGGAAGCCTCCTCATGTCAAGGACTAGACAAGGTGTGAATGACTGCACATGTACAAAGTATATCCTTCACTTCAAAGGGAAGGAGGGAAGCTATGGTGAACTTACAGGCCTGTAGCTGACCATAACTACAGGGGCGGGGCTTCTATACTCACGTAGACCACACTTGGCTGTAGTGCTGACAACGTTAATACTGTTCCCACATCTGTATCATCCATAATAATCAGGGGTGCACCTCCATCTGCCCCATCAGAACGACATACTGAAGAAGGACAAGCAAACTTTTGTTCGTTTCTATCTACAAATTGTACCTAAAACTACTGCTCTTCATAAATTTTATCTTATTGATTAGGTGACATCGCCATGTTAATACAATAGCAGATTTATAACAACTTTTTTGAGATAATGAAATATTTCTTCATAATTTAAAAAAGTTTAAGCATGCATACTTTTCCTGACCCTTGACCCTACAAGGTGTGTCTCGCCGGCGTATTTCGTGCAATCCCTCGGGTAACCCCTTCTCAGACCAGACATTTCCCGGGATTCCAGCTCCCCAGTTGGACTGTTGTCCCAATGTACCAAGATCTTCTCTGTTAAAAAATAACCCATACACAATGAAATGAGGCACCATGATCAGTTCAGATTTATGGAAATCAGTTCAGATTTATGGTCATATGCCTAATTTGCATATATATGTCCCTAATATGTTCGAGTTATTCTCCCGAGAGAAAATCGTTTTCAAGGATCCTTGCCAAAAACTATAACTACGCAATCGCATTGGAAACTGTTTTTTTTCTATTATGACTTTAGCTTTAATAAATCACGTATGAAAAAAACCCCATACCTTTGGGGACTTTTATGAAAAAATATATAAAGATGAAATTAACAAAATATAATCAACAACAGTGTTCTTAGTGCAGAAGTTTAATAGGCCTGGACCAAGATTCAAACCCTGGACTTCAGATTGTTATATTATCGCACTAACCAACTGAGCTACCTATTTGACAGAAGTGTCCTGACCCAATAGTTCTAGTTATATCCAAAACGATATTAAGGGGAGGTCACTCTATATGCAAAATCATCATGCAGTGGAACAAGGATCCTTAACAAGCGTTGTTTTTAAAGATCTAGAATTACCTGAGCATTATCTACATCACTATTCTTCTGTGGAACTTTTTTCGGAAACAAAATGCATGTCCACTAATGCAGCATATACCCTTAATTTAAATATGTTTAAACATATTTTATTGATTGAATGATTCAAAAGGATCGGACAACAAGTCTGTACAACTTATAATATTATACATAATATTTATGAACATAAGTTTTCTATAAATATTGTGAATTTGTCTACATTGGCATCCACCAGACCAAATTCTATAATATAAATATGCATTGATAAGGAAGCTATTAATTTAAATGTGACAACATTTTCATAGAACTTAAAACATTTCAATAGAAATACATACTTTCTGGTAAATGGCCAATAACTGTGCCTGTCAGATCAGCATCTTGTTCTCCCTGTACTCGTTCACCCAAGGGGAATTCACTCCAAAGCTGTTCACCTGGCTCCCCTGTCTGCCGTACGAGTAACCTGATATTGTCTTCTTTTCTTTCCTGAGCTTGCCTTTTTGCAATTATCCTTTGAACACTTTCCTGAAATATTGGTGAGAAATATTGAAGACTACTACAGGATCAGCTTTGTGCAGTGTTTCTACAATATCATTTTTGCAGAGTAGTTCTGTAAGGGACCCCCTGCAGCAATTAAAATGTTTTCAGTAAAGTACTTGTTTATAGATTATTCCTACTGCAACACAAGTCAAAACACAACTCAGTGGTTACGTTTTTTTTATCTTCATTGTTTTAATTTGTGCAATGTAAAATATGAAAATATTCACCAATCTCAATAACAAACTGTTATTCATCTAGTAACCAAATTGTATAATTATGTTAGTTAGTTGGCAACAGTAATTTTACTGGTTTTGTTTAACTTCGTAAGGTTTTCAGAACTAACCATGTCTTCTGGGTCATCCCCAGTGTAAGCCTTCATCATCAGCTGGAAGTCTTCTTCAGACAAATGTCCCCAGTTGGTCGCCATCCCTTCCAGTATGTTACAAGCTATGATCTGTTACAGACAGGGGAACAGGAAGATGAACCACTTCATTAAACATTATACCTAATCTATATGAATGCACGGCTGCAATATAAATGACACCTTCCATTACAGTAAATATTCGGGTATTGTGCACATTCGTGAATAATGCGCAGGTACTTTTTTGGGAGAACAAATTCAAAAAAATATATTGATCAGACATTAGAAATTAAGCAAGAGATCCAGAGATCTTGGTGCCCACCTTTGTACCATCTTCATTAGTTATATGTCAGTTTGATCCTTTCTCTTCTTTTCTCTTATCTGTTTGGCTGAGTCATGCATACACTAAATGCACATTGAGGTAACTTTTTATTTAAACTTCATACTGTCGTGTAAACAAGACAACCTTTAATGTGAGTTTGTCGTTTCATATATTTACTAGCACAGAACTTAAGGTGAAAGAAATAGAACTGATCACTGCAACATGAGAAAGATCTGTTAAATTCATCCTGCAGCCATCTTGTTTACGATCACTCTCGTAAAATAAAACATGCACAGCTAAGGATCAAGCGAAACCTATATATAAAATCTGAGAAAGATCTCTCAAGTTCTTTCCTCCTGAGAATAAGCAATAACATTAAACTTTAACTGTCAAAATTAAAGATGGCCTGCACCTGTCGACTATTTTGTTTATTCCAGCAGTCACACATGTCAAGTAAACATGCACAATGAATGGCCAAGGGGAACCTACAAATCAAATTTGAGAAAGATCTATCCAGTACTTTCTGAGATATAGCGATAACAAACAAGAGATCCCAGAGGGATCTTGGCGCCCACCTTTGTACCATCTTCATTAGTTCTTTGTCAGTTCGATCTTTTCTCTTCTTTCCTCTAATCTGTTTGATCGAGTCATGTTAACAGTAAATGCACCTTGAGGTAACTTTTGATCTAAACTTAATACTGATGTGTATGAAAGCCAACCTTCAAAGTGAGTTTGTCATTTCACATATTTACTAGTACAGTACTTAATGTGAAAGAAATAGAATCGATCATTGCAATATGAGAAAGATCTGTTTAGTTCTTCTTTTAATCCATTTTGTTTTTATGATCAGTCTCAAAATATAACATACACAACGAGGGATCAAGGGGAACCTACATTTAAAATTTGAGAAAGATCCCTCCCGTACTTCCCGAGAAATAGCGATAACAAACTTTCACTATCAAAATCCAAGATGGCTGCCTGTCGGCCATGTTGTTTATCCGATCAGTCTCTAAAATTGCCCTGCACAGCTAGGACCAAGGGGAACCTACATATAAAATTTAAGAAAGATCCCTCTAGTTCTTCCGGAGAAATAGCGGTAACAAACCCACACTATCAAAATCCAAGATGGCTACCTGTCGGCCATGTTGTTTATCCGATCAATCTCAAAAGTTGCCCTGCACAGCTAAGGACCAAGGGGAACCTACATATAAAATTTGAGAAAGATCCCTCTGGTACTTCTTGAGAAATAGCGATAACAAACTTTCACTATCAAAATCCAAGATGGCTGCCTGTCGGCCATGTTGTTTATCCGATCAGTCTCAAAAGTTGCCCTGCACAGCTAAGGACCAAGGGGAACCTGCATATAAAATTTGAGAAAGATCCCTCTGGTACTTCTTGAGAAATACCGATAACAAGAATTGTTTACGGACGGACGACGGACGGACGACGGACCACGGACGCAGGGTGATTAGAATAGCCCACCATCAGATGATGGTGGGCTAAAAACTTAAATGTCAAAATCCAAGATGGCCACCAGTCAGCCATATTGTTTATCCCATCTGTCTCAAAAAGTAACATGCACAAATAAAGAACAAGCCTAGGGAAACCTATATATCAAGTTTGAGAAAGATCTATCGGACATCCAGTACTTCCTGAGAAATAGCGATAACAAATATTTTGTCAAAATCAAAGATGGCTGTCTATCCCCATATACTTATCCGATCAGTCTCAAAAGAAAACATGCACAACTTTAGGCCTTAAGGGGAACCTACATATCAAAATTGAGGAAATCCATCTACCTGGTAGTAATTTCTCAAAAAAAAGCTAACAAACTTTACTCAATAAATTCATGATAGCGCCTACTGGCCCTTTTGCTTATCTGATCAGTCCAAAAACATAATATGCCTAACTAGGGAACATGTGTAGCGTTAGTGTTCTCACCTGCTGCCACGTCTGTCGGCCCAGCTTTCCTCCATTCTTATCTATTATTTCCCCTCCTGTAATTTTAATAACTCCCTCAAAGTGGCTGCGGACCTGTGACAAATTAGACATTTACTGTTACAGCATTCATAATACTATTGTGACAATGTGTGACATATCTACGAGGAAATGAATAGAAAATTCATTGATATATCGGTATCTGCTCTAGCGACTGCATTCTTTGATGGATAATAGATTTTCATTGCGTTGAGGAATGAAGTCAATATAGAGCGATGACAATTTTTTTTCTAAAAATAGAAAAAGTGACCTTGACCTTTGACACAGTAACCAGGAATGAAGTTGATAGAGCGACGACATTTTTTTTTTCTTAAACTTGAATTTGTTAAAGGTATTCTCATACCAAACACTTTGATCAAGTTTCATCAAAGTCTGTTGAGGAATGAAGTCTGTGGAGCAATGACAAACTTTTTCTAATAAAAGTAAAAATGATGTTGACCATCAACCCTGAAACTCAAACTTGTTCAAGGCAACACGTGCATCAACTTTCATGAAATTTTGTTCAGTAATGAAGTCGCTAGAGTGATGACAATGTTTTTCTAAAAAACGAAACAGTGACCTTGACCTTCAATGTAGAAATCCAAAATCTGACCTTTAAAGGTATTGTCATACAAAACATTTGTATCAAGTGTCATGAAATTATGTTGAGGAATGAAGTGGTAGAGCGATGACAAAGTTTTTTTCTCTCTAAAAATAGTAACAGTGACCTTGACCTTCAACGTGAAAACCCAAAACATGAACTTGTTCAAGGCATTATCACCATACCAAACTCTTGTATGAAGTTCATTAAATTCCGTTGAGAAATGAAGCCGGTAGAGCAATGACAAATTAAGATGTAACATGTACCTCCGTATGTAAATATATGCTCATACCTATATCCCTTTGAACTTTTGTTTGGAGGGGATAATCATATATTTACACCTATTTATACACTGCAGTTTGCAAGTGTAGGCGTTAAAATAACTGCAGGACATATCAATACTCTCCTACTGGTGATCACTTTTTTTTAAAATTTATAATTGTTATTTTCAAGGTTTTCATAATGATTCTTAATAATCTGAAACAGCAAAAAAAATATGACTCATTAAAGTTTGATTTGCATTAACAGTGCATTTAAACATATTTGACCCCTGTGACCTTGAATATAAGTCAAGGTCATTTATTTGAACAAACTTGCTAGCTCTTCATCCCAGCATGTTACTGGCCAAATATCATCACCCTAGGCCTCTTGGTTATTCAGAAGAAGTTGTTTAAAGATTTTAACATAATTGACCCCTGTGACCTTGAAAATGGATGAAGATAATTTATTTGAACAAACTTGGTAGCCCCTCATCCCAGCATGCTTCTGGCCAAATATCATCACCCCAGGCCTTTTGGTTACTGAGAAGAAGTTGTTTAAAGTAAAAACTTGACACCGGACAGACACCGGAGGGACGCCGCACCATGCCATAAGCTCACTTGGCCCTTCGGGCCAGGTGAGCTAATAAATAATTTAGTTATTGTCTTTTCTATGTGTTGTTCTTGACACAACATTGGCGGAACAGCCCTATTCAAATAAAATTGGCGCCAATAACTAACTGTAGTCATTTGAGCGTTTGACGCAGGGGCATTCTCCATGTTATCCAAAGCAACAATTAGACTCTCATTGATCTAGGTTAATCTTTGACGTCATAAGTAAACCATGTGTTATGTCACGATAGTTTTTGCGTTCAGCCTCAAATGAAATGCATGTTGGTACAGTTGTGGGATCGCACAACGTTACACGATGTGCAGTGTGCGCTTGATGTGTGCACGGTGTGTGAAAGATATGTGAACGATGCGTGCACTTAGTGCGTACGATAAAAAAATTGACGATCATTGATTGCACACATTTGTGTAAATTGTGTAAAACAACGGTGTAAATTGAGGAATGGCTTAACAATATATATGGTTTCGTTATTAAACATATAAACTTGAATTTTTAGTTTGTTTATATATTCTTGCTACATACTTTCTTAAATTTAGAAATGGTGTTTTTCGGTGATTTTTAAATGACCTTAATCAACACATGAAAAATTACAACACAGTCTCGGCAACACAGGTAAACATAGCCAGTTTGTACCTGGACCGTAGTTTTCCCCCCGCCCGGGGAACTTACGTAACTCGCCCAGGCGTGAAAACCAGGTGAAGGGGAGCTATAGACCAAATCATATGCAAATAACAAATACTAAACGTCCAGTTGTGTTTTCATAACGGTCATACGGTATCACATAGTAGCTTAATAGGTCAGACACAGGCCAGGTAAAACTCTGGTCACTCACACAATTGTTATTTACCTGTTCTGCCACCTAGCTAGGAGCCAAAGCCATTCTTGACAGTCTAACAGTCACTGTTAACTGTGTTACACGCATTGTAAAATTGTACATAATCTTAATTATTGTGATGAGAAATTACAGTAATATATACAGTGTACATTATTGCATACGAGCCTTCCGTATTGTTTTCATTCCGTAATGAACAAATCAATAAATTGTACCAAATCGCACAGTTTTGCGGAGAGAAGCGCACAACGGGGCGAACGATTGTTAAATCGCCCAGTTGTGTCTACCATGTGTGGATGATGTACGGACGGTGTGTGAACGATGTATGTACGGTATTTTTGGTGCGTTGTGCGGTCACTCAACTGTAATGTTCATATAGTGGATTTCAGCGCAAATGTAAATATATGAATATGGAGATAAATGTCTCCTGATGTAAAATGCTGACTTACATGATTTTTATATCTACTATATATATAACTGTCACTGTAGGAATACTGTTATTCATGTGTTGTAAAGTGCCTGAAAGTTTTTGTTGTAAATTATAAAGGCCGGTCTCTATACCAATGTTGTATTTTTTTTTGTATTAATTATTATTGATCATGTGTCTGAAACATTTAATCAGCACTAGACACATGGTATTCCGAAGTTCTAAACTTACCTGTCTCGTGTCCCCAATTGGTACAACGTACACAGGTATTCCCATCTGTTTAAGTTTCAAAGCTATGTTCATTAGCTCATTCTTCACTTCAATCGTCTACAAAAACACAAAATACAGGTAAAATTGTTAGAGAACTTGCATTTGGTCATTCCTTTGTACACATTTGATAGCTCCTAGTGAAAGCTGACTACTTACTGAATATCACCACTCTTGGCATCATGCATGGCCTTTTATTATATGTCAAATCAAAGTTATTTGTCAAATTTCTAAATTGGTGACTTTGCAAGTAGGACAAGGTCATTCACTTTAGGCCAAATGTCATGAATTTATATGGTTCTTCACATTAAGCCATTTAAAAAAAAGTTGAGAAACTGACAAGGTCTGGGTTTCCGAACTAGAACATCAGATAAAACACAGTATAGACTAGCAGCTAATTATGATCTATTGAGAACTCATTTAGAACCCGTTTACTATTTGCATCCACAGATGATAGAAGATTTACACTTTAGTAAGCGTAATTTTTTTTACCTACCTCATCAGACTCGGGTTCAAATTTATCCTCCTCCGTTTCCCCAGTTACTCTTACCATCCCAGCTCTTCTTGCTATCTCATTCATTTTCATGTCGGTGATTACTATGATCCGAGGTTTGATCTTTCGCCCGTGTAACCAGACAGTGCCACCTGTGCCTGAGAAACAATATTTGGTGGTTCGGTATGAGTATGAGTTCAGCGTGACTGGGTTTAAAGCCTCAATGTGAGTTAAGGTATTGAATGTGACTTTGAGGTTTTTGGGAATACATTAAGATTTTACTTTTAATATATATCCATGTCACTTTGGATTGGAGTGATTCAATGTAAATTTAAGTTTTGATTTTTTTTTTTAATGTGAGTTTCAGTTTTAAGACTTCAATGTAACCGTGATTTTGATGTCTCAATTATTGACTTTGAATTGAGGCAGTCACTGGACCTTGACCTCAAATATTATTTTTTAATTCTTATTCAATAAAAATAAAAATGTCAATAACCTTTTTCTGAAAACCACACACAGGTGCACAGAAGGAGACCAAGGCCCAATGGGGAGCGACCGTCTTGCTCATTAAATCTTGGCAACTCTGAAGCAAAAACAAAAGCAGGTAAATTAACATGAAAATATGAATAAAAAAGAAAAGAAAACAAAATATGAATGTTGTGTGGGAGAAATTTAGAGTCTGGGAATGCCTAGAATTTAGAATAAAAAAAGGCTTGGTTTAACCAGTAAGGAAAGGCTAAAGCACAAGGCCCAGGAATTACGAGTGAGTCAAGGCCTAGGGATTACAAGTGAGTAGAAGTCTAGGTATTACAATTGAGTAGAGGTCTAGGAATAGTGAGTAGAGGCATAGGGAGTACAAGTGAGTCGAAACCTAGGGATTATGAGTGAGTATAGGACTAGGGATTATGAGTGAGTAGAGGTCTATGGATTATGAGTGAGTAGAGGCCTAGGGATTATGAGTGAGTAGAGGCCAAGGGACCAAGAGTGAGTAGAGGCCTAGGGATCAAGAGTGAGTCGAGGCCTAGGGAGTAGGAGCGAGTAGATGCCTAGGGATGAGGAGTGAGTAGAGTAGAGGCCTTGGAATAGTGAATTGGTCTAGGGATTATGAGTGAGTAGAGGCCTAGGGATTATGAGTGAGTAGAGGCCTAGGGAGTAGGAGTGAGTAGATACCTAGGGATGAGGAGTGAGTAGAGTAGAGGCCTTGGAATAGTGAATTGGTCTAGGGATTATGAGTGAGTAGAGGTCTAGGGTTTATGAGTGAGTAGAGGTCTATGGATCACGAATGAGTCGAGGCCTTTGAATAGTGAATTGGTCTAGGGATTGAAGGTGAGTAGAGGTCTAGGGATTATGAGTGAGTAGAGGCCTAGGGATTATGAGTGAGTAGAGGTCTTGGAATAGTGAGTTGGTCTAGGGTTTATGAGTGAGGAGAGGCCTTGGAATAGTGAGTTGGTCTAGGGATTAAGAGTGAGTAGAGGCCTTGGAATGGTGAGTTGGTCTTGGGTTTATGAGTGAGTAGAGGCCTTGGAATAGTGAATTGGCCTAGGGATTATGAGTGAGTAGAGGTCTATTGATTATGAGTGAGAAGAGGCCTAGAGATTACGAGCGAGTAGAGGTCTAGGGATTACGAGTGAGTAGAGGCCTTGGAATAGTGAGTTGGTCTCGGGTTTATGAGTGAGTAGAGGCCTTGGAATAGTGAATTGGCCTAGGGATTATGAGTGAGTAGAGGTCTATGGATTATGAGTGAGAAGAGGCCTAGAGATTACGAGCGAGTAGAGGTCTAGGGATTATGAGTGAGTAGAGGCCTATGGATTACGAGCGAGTAGAGGTCTAGGGATTACGAGTGAGTTGATGCCTAAGAATTACCTAGTTTGTCCAGCACCTCGTGCAGGTCTATGGTAGGATACAGCAGCACCTCTGTTTTGTGCCCGAACACCGCCACACCGTATGTCTCTGACATCTGGTCTCTAAGGTGCTTACTTCCTGCCTCTGTAGGAACAAACAAGTCGAAATTTATGTTACCATCATAACACAATTCATGTAATAGATGGCTATTTATAAGATAACGTGTTATATAAATGTTAAATAAAAGAAGACAAAAAGTAAAGAAATACCACAACCACCAGCTGATATAACAAAACATTTAAAGTTATAAAGCATCGCAGACGATAAAAATATCCTCACACTTCAAGAGGTTATAGTAGCAGTGACCTAGTTTTTGACTGCAGAAGGTTGAAATGCAAACTTGTATAAGAGGTGATGTTTGTGAACATGGGTGTGAAGTATAATTTTAATTTATGATGATCGAAAAAGAAATGAAGTCTGTAGAGAAAATTCTATCAAACACTTACAGTGACCTTGTTTATCACTGCAGGTGGTTGAAACTGTACAAGAGGTGATTTTTGTGTAGTGTGTAGAGCGGTGATGCCTTTTAGAACATGCAGGTGCGAAAGAACGAATGAATGGGCAGATCCCTATATACCTTTGACCACTCATTGTCCAAGGGTACCATAACCAAAGGGAGGTTATCAGTCATAAATTATTAGTAACAAAGCTGAATATTATACTTTATTTCGCTCCTTTCCATACTTGTGGACCTGAAAAGTTTTAGAACAAGAAATATACATATCTTGTAACATTTTTTTAAGTTTAATCAACTCTGTTTGTATGTTTGTCTGACTTTGATAGTTATATTTGGCCAAACAAAAAATATTTGGTGTTTCCCGTAACCCTATCTACATACCCTATTTTTTCGTGCCCACCCTAAAAAATTTAAGACAATTTTCAAAGCTAAGCACTGGTACTGTTAATGTCAAGATCACTCTCCTATAAAAACCATATAAAATTACTTGTTAAAATAAAATTTGTTACCTACTTACCTAGCCATTTTTTTTTTGTCTGGCCTTACAATGAATCTGTGTGTTTGTTTAACCATGATAATAACGGAACATGGAATTCATTTTTTCATTCTTTGATCGTACATGTAGTTATAACAAAACAGAGAATGTTATGTGTCTGTTTTACCTTGACAGTAACAACAGTTAGAGAATCTCAATGTTTTTGATATGACCTTCTTATAGAACTGTACACTGGGAAGTTTTCGTGTAGTGTAATTTCTGTCTGTAATGTGGGCGAATTTATCATTGCAACAAATAAAATTCAACCACATAATGAATATAGTAATTAAATGTGAAGGGAGAAATTTAAACTACCGGGTAGGCGAAAATGGATTTTACTGGCAAAGGGAGAAAGTTTGACTGGGCAAATTCTTTCCCTGTATACAGTATAAGGGTATGATAAGAATCCTGTGTTTTTAACTGCTGACCTTGTAGTATACTCCGGACTTCCGCCTTCATTTGTGTGATCTTGTCACCATGCTTCATGCTCTTGGACAAGTCGAGTAGGAACATGGTGCTTGGAGCCGAGTTCTGCTCGCTTTCACAGCCTGTACAGACACAAAGGATGAAATAATGGTGGCTCAAATAATAAATATGTACCATGTAATAAATGGACATTTTTGTAGTCGTAATTCAAGGAGAGGTACAAAACATATTCTGTGATACAAAGAAAGAACTTGGGCTGAAAGTGTGCCCACCTCATTAGCAGCGCTTACAACACAGTTTCAGTTTTCTGTCAAGTAATTAAGTGCAACAATTGAAATGCAGTTTCAGTTTTCTGTCAAGTAAATGCAACAATTAAAACACAGTTTCAGTTTTCTATCAAGTAATTAAGAGCAACAATTGAAACACTGTTTCTTTGTTCTGTCAAATAAGAACAACAACTTAAAAGAAGTTATAGTTTTCTGTCAAGTAAGAGTAACAAACTAAGACTTTTATTTGCTTTTTTCTCCTGTATACGTAATCTTATGTAAATTACCTTTATTCGATGTAGAAATGATGCAAACTATTAATACACTGTAGCTGGGTTTTTTCGGCTAAGCATGACTTGACCTTTTTGAAATGCTTTGGTTTGTTTGTGTTTTAAGTCCTATTAACAGCTTTGTCATTTAAGGACGTGCCAGGTTTTAGTGGTGGAGGAAAGCCAGAGTTCCCGGAGAAAAACCACCGACCTATGGCCAGTACCTGGCGACTGCCCCACGTAGGTCTCGAACCCGCGACCCAGTGGTGGAGGGCTAGTGGTAGCAAAATGTCAGACGACTTCACCACTTGGCCACCGCAGCAAAGAAATGCATAGATTGTACAACTTTCATATGATCAAGCAGCCATAGTCCCAATTTAAGTCTGTCATTTTGTTTTGGGTTTAAGCAGTTGTAACTAACTATATATAGAAATAACCTACCATATTGTAACTAACTATATATAGAAATAACCCACCATATTGTAACTAACTATATATAGAAATAAACAACCATATTGTAACTAACTATATAGAAATAACCAACCATATTGTAACTAACTATATATAGAAATAAACAACCATATTGTAACTAACTATATAGAAATAACCAACCATATTGTAACTAACTATATA